TGGCGGCTTTGAGTCACGTGTTCTATGGATTTGCTTTGTTATATTGGCCAACAGGGCAAATCAACCAATACTGGCGTAGGGGCAATCAAATCAGTCAAATCTTGGCGTTATTTAATTTATTGGCTTTAACGGCAGCGCTGGTTAGGAGTCCATACAGATTGTCCAGAAGCTTCTCATGTCCGGTCCCCCACGGAGTCCCACTAAGCTCGAGACTCCGTATTGAGTTAATAGCAGCAATGTCATCCCTCCCGTCGGATTTGATCAGAGTGGCATCAATTGCGCTGACATGAGACGCAATCCTGGTAGTATCATAAACCGCTTGCGTCGGTCTGATTTATGAGTGTCGTACCTGCGGTTCACCGCCGATTGGATGGTAACTAGATCCGGCCGGCCGCATCCTCGGGTTCTTAGCGTCGTCATCGTGGTTGCCAAGATGCGGGGTCAGCTATCGTGGGGATCTTGGACTATTGGATTCATGTGGTTTCACACTGCCTTTCAGCTGTCATTCATTTTTCTTGTGGACTCACTTTGAGATAGAATCTGCAGAAGTAGGCCTCGCGGCTCTGTTACCGTCGACCTCCTCGTTGAGGTGGTATCAAGATCGTGATCAATCTTCTGTCCGCTCACTTATCAAAACAGTGCTCCGGATATTACGCAAACGACTACGTGTATGCCTTATCATCAATCCGTAGCGATGTCATATGCATCGGAATCTGTGTTTCCGGCCAATGTTCCGGGTCAGCCGCACCTACTTGTAGCGTCCGCTGATGATGATCAAGCGTAACCAAGCGGTTGAGCAGCTGCGTATATGGAAGCGAGAAACATGATCTCTTCAAATATTTCTAGTTTGAGCACTTCAATGTTCCTGGGCTATTTTATTGAGACCACTCACATTGTAGCTGGAGGAAGAGGCTGCCAACCCTTGTCTGTCCCAAGATCCAGAATCATCCCTTGGATCGCCGATGAAATTGTCCGGGGCTAAACATCATTATTCCGAGACATCTCAAAGAACTAGCTTACCCGATCGAACGCCAGGCGCGAGTGACATGCAAAAGAAAATTCCTCATTTTACCTACCGCTATGCGGCATACATAAATCGGGATGAATGGTATGACCGGACGGTTCTCATGCCATCTATCTTGATCTGATATTTATTTGACAAGAACCTTTCAACCCCAAATTATGCCCCTAGCTTTGGCTCGTAATACGAAACATCCAGCTGACGTTGGTGCTGGGCAACGGCGTCGTCAGAGGCCGATCCTGGAGGTTGGCAGTACCGGTGTCGCTTCAACAGGCAATCGGCCTGGTGTGGCAAGGTGGGATTCACGGAAATCAAAATGCGGATCAGCCCGGTTGCAGCCACAACTGCACCGTCGCACGCGATTGGATCGGGGTAGTGGCTTGGGTGGAATGTGCCTTAGCCCGCATCTAGTTCAAACGAAAGCCTCGATCAAATTCTTTGTCGTATTTAACAATGCGGTGACCTAAAACCCATTACGCGGCTTGAGCCGAACCGGCCTTCTGGGAGATTCCGATTAGCTTACGCGCCAGCTCCTCGCTCTTTCCCAGGAAAGGGCTATGTCCAGCTGCAATTCTCCCTTCTTGCATGGCAGGGGTACCTTTTACCAGTGCCTCTTGAAGGCTCAGAGGAAAGACCAGATCGTTCTCACAGATCAGATACGTCTTCGGTATGACGATATCCGACGCAATGAAATTGATTCCGGTCTCAAATGCATCTTGGGAGTGCGGCAGCAACATGCTAAAAACCCTTGTTGCTTCCTCCTCTGAAGTGTCATTGTACAACAATTTCGAACCCTTCAAATTCACCGTTGAAAGTTTGTTCTGCGCGCAATATGTTTGGTAAGTAGTCGAGCTACCATGTTTCACTGCAATCAGATAGGGTTCACCTTCGTGTAGGACTCGCAGGTATCCTGCCAGTCTGGCCAAGCCCCGCCAAAGGTCGTGAGAAGATCCCATCCTCTGACAGGAACGGCAAAAGCTGCAACGAAGATGATGGAGTTGAAACCACCTTTTAATCCTCGTGCGGCTCTCTCCTGGGTTCCTTGACCTTCTATGGCAACAGTTGCCGGCACTCCTCCATAAGAATGTGCCACGAGAATGACCTCTCTCCCCTGGTCGAAGCAAGATGTCGCCTCCTCGATAATCTTTGCTTTGTCGGCTTCCCATGTAACTCCGTTGGTGCCATGGCCCATCGATGGCATATGCGGGATAATGCATTCGTATCCCAGTGAAATGAGATCAGTCTTCAAGGGCTCATAGCATGCAGGCGGGTGCCACGCTCCCGTGACGACGAGGAAGACGGGCTCACTTTTGCCAATTGAACCCATGTTTGTAGCTGATAGTGATTTGAATGTAGGAGCTGATTACTTGGCGGAACCAAGAATCAGGATTGGGCATTTCCGTCTCTTTAGTAGAAACCCGCCAGAAACATCCAACGGGCGACAGAAGTGCGTTGTTGGTGGCTCGGCAAGGGTCAGGGAAACGGCCCAATCCCATCACGTGGTTGGTTATTGGCTTCTTCAGCAGCGAGATTAGATGCTCCGCATCTCAACGGTCTTCGCCAAGAACAATCCATGAAGAGAACAACAGAGATGATTGCGGCACAGTAGTTTCGAATCAACAGCTGGAAAGATTCAAAAGCGCTAGGCCCACAACGAAAGAATGGGCACACATGTAATAATGATATTTGCAGTAAGTAAATGGGTCAACCAGCAGCACTTCTACCTTTCAGTCAGAACATCACGTTGAGATCTTCTCACGGCAAAGGTCAATGCGCAGACACTGGCCGACCCGAAGTCACAGTCATCTTTCAGCCCACCGCAACCTCAATCGCATTAGGTTGGCAAGGAATCGCAGTAATTATGTCTACACCCATCTCGACGCCTGATCTCATCGCATATGATGAGGGCCCAACCATTATTGGGCTGTGCGCCGCCATGATGCCCTGTTCCGCTGTCGTGGTCGCTCTCAGACTCTGGGCAAGACGACGGATGAAAATGCCCCTAGAGTGGGACGACTGGTTGATTGTCATGTCTGTGGTGGGTAAATTACGAACGTTATTTGATTTCTCTATGCTAATCAACTACTAGCCATTGCTATGGTCTGTCGCCATTCTCGGCATTGCTGGTGAGTACGCGAGTTCTCGTGACGGGGACGAAACCATTGACATCAATTCTAAAGCGGTTTGCTACGGAGGAGTCGGGAGGCATTTGAACGCTGTTTTAGCGGAGGATCCGGCAATCTTTGGTCGTTCTATGCTCGTGAATACTTTCTCCCATCATAACCCCCCACATATGCCTGCATATGTTTTGCTGACAATGTATCACGAAGTGTCTCTTCATCGGCGAGTACACATACGGGACTGTTCTGTGTACCGTGAAAGCATCTGTTCTCCTGATGTATTATCGTATTTTCCCTACGACAGGCATGAAAGTGGGAGGATATGTGCTCGGCGGGTTGAAACTGGCTTGGTGGTTGGCTGTGGTGTTGGTCTCGACATTCCAGTGCACGCCGATTCACAAAGCTTGGAATTCTCTCATGGAGGGTGGTAAATGCTTGGATACTAATAAGTTCTTCCTGGGGAACTCAATTCCGAATATTATCACTGATGCTCTCATTCTGTGTCTGCCGGTTCTCGAGGTTTCAAAACTCCAGGTCCGTCGGTCACAGAAAGTAGCTATTGGAGGAATGTTCCTTTTGGGCGGCCTGTGAGTTACTTTAAAACACTCAACCCCACACTGCGCCTTTCATGCGACTAACTCTGCCGGCAAAGGGTCGTGGTAATCAGTTGCATACGTCTGAAAGTGGTCATCGACTTGTCCAATGCAGGAGCTGATGCAGACTTTACTCGTGAGTCCCAGCATAACCTTTCGTGCGTAACAAGCTGATCCGAAAGAACAGAGCTAATAGGCCCATGCTGGATTTGGACTACCATTGAACCCACCATCGCGATGCTTTGTGCAAGTCTTCCCACAATGCGGCCACTCATGCACTTCCTCTTTGGCCGGTTCATCGGGGGTTCTTCCGATGGAAAGAACAATGTCACCGGCCTCGTGAAAATTGGTGGCACCAGGTCAAATCAGTCAGCCAAAGGCAAGGGGCAGAAAAGTGGCCGTTCATTCAAGCGGCTCGATGATAACGATTCAGCGGATGAACCAGTCTTGTGGCCGGAAGGTTATGTCAACGATCAAATCACAATTGCGGAGAGATCTCAGACTTTGGGAAGTTGTGATGAAGATATTCCGCTTGACGCAATCAAAGTGCAGAGGGGAATTACTTGGACGGAGTCTCGGAAGATGTGAGTTAACATTGGAAGAAGCCCACGACATTCCGCGCATGGAGAATGTGTTTCATGAGGCTGTGTTGTAGCGTGTACATCGTATCGTAGTAGGCCCATGCCTATCATGGTCAAAAGCTCATACTCGACCGATTATAAGAGGAACCGAGCGTGTAGGCACCAAAAACTGGCATGTATTGCCGACGGGATCGGAAGCCTCTACTTAGGCGGAGCTATTCACTAGCCTGGATTTCCACACCCGGCTAAGTTGCATGAAGGGATTGCGGAATGCTTCATACATGTATTTACAAAACATCTTTTCGATCTGTCTGTTCCTGGTGCGAAAGAGCACGTCTCAGAATGGGCCGAGAAGCACGTATCATGCAGGACAACACGCACCACGTATTGCCTTCATTGCCCACGGTCGCTATTTGAGGAGAGACCAAAGTGATAGTGATGCTCTCCATCTACTTAGCCTTCCGGCTACCCCTGAGAACTTTTGCGCCCCTAGTGACTGAATCGGAAGTCTAGTCGCTTGTTTCCTTCATCCTTGGTGGTTGCCAAGTATGCGACTCTCTGCTCTTCCGACATGCCGTCCCATATCTTGTCGCGTCGCTTATTACGGTAGACATAGTATGCCTTCACCAAAGGATAGAGAACCAAGTTCATGCAGACAATTCCGAGAAGAGCCCTGTTTCCTCTCTTGTACAAAGGCGCGTCATCTTGAACGAAGTTAGAGCTCATTGAAAATGAAGAGACTGCGAGACCCTCACCGGAACGATAGATATTCGAAGAGATGATGCCGCTGGTCTGAACGAACATGTTGTAGCACGCAGCAGACACGGTTCGAGACCGGACAGTGTTGGAGTTTCGGCTATTCCATCCAACCTTCAAAGTGTGTCAGTAGGCCTCTAAGCGATGATGATGGAGATCTTTGAATAATAGGGGCCGTTTGAGGCTCAGCTCTTGTAAGAAGTCACTTACTTGAATTGGGTGAGCTGTGACAGAATGATTAGCGGGAATTCAAAATGCAAGTTCAACATGCAGCTTACCGTTGGGGTAGATAAGTAACAGAGAGATGACTGTGTACAGCACCCATCTGTTGACTTCAGTGGTGTCCACGACGTTGAGGTAGATCAAGAAGGGGAGAGTCCAAAATTGACCAGACATGGCGATGAAAGTGAGCTCTTTGAAGACCTCAGCTAGGTAGGTAATCGCAAGCATAGTAATCACTAACAAAACTGTTAGCGCTGGTCAAGAGTCATTAGGACAGTACCTACTGTGGCCCACGGTGTTCGGGATAGAAAGCAAGTTCGCTTGGAACGTATCGAAACCTAGGTTGCGCAATGTCAAGGTGAGATACTGTTGAGGCGGCGTGGACGGAATCTGGAAAGTGAGACCGAGGATATAGAGCGGCCAGAGGTCGTAATCCTGCAGACTATCCCACAATAACCGCGGAGTGATGGGTTCTCGATTATGCATGCTGCTTTTGCTCGGGTCTTCACGAAGAACTCTGTTCACGAGGATGGCTTCCTCCCTGTATCGCAGTCAGCAATGACTCAGTAATCACATGTCCGTGTACAAGTCTACCTTTCTGTAAACCAACCCTTCTGGCCACGAAACCAACTGGCAGTTTGGCAAGGTCCCGCCGGCATCAAAAGGAAACCAAAGATTCCAATGACCAGAGTCAGGAGTCCTTCGATCAAAAAGAGCCATCTCCATCCCGCGTGTCCTTGCAGACCCCGCATGTGTAGTAGCCCATAAGCGAGTAGGGCTGACAGAATATCTGCAATGCTCATAGCAGTCCAGAAGAAGCCAAGCCGGAGAGATAGCTCGTGGTGCTTGTAGAAATATGAGAGGTACAGGATAACCTACAAATATGTTAGCAAATGTTCCGGTATCGGACGTCAAAATAGTAGGTAGAAATTACATCTGGGATGAAACCACCCTGTAGCAAACCAAGAAGCGCACGGCAGGCGAGAAAAGAGTCTCTTCCAGAGAGCCAGAACTGGCAGCTCGCCACAATACTCCACAGCACCATCTGTGCAGGAATCCACCGGTCAGGCCCAACCCACTTTGAGACGAGTTGTGATGGCAACTCAGCGCAAAGGAAGGCTAGCTTGAAGACGGTGTTTCCTAGGTTGAAGTCTGCACAGCAGGTCAGCTCCCTCACTAAAATATTACATCAATGTCGGAGTATCTATACCATTGGTGGTCATTTTGAGATCGCCCAGCATGTTGTCGGTATTTGCTGAATGGTTTCAAGTATGTTAGCACATCTCTATCAGCGCTGATACTCCTCGCGTGATAAGTTCGAACCTTGGCTGATGTTGGCACGATCTAGCTCGAGTGCCATGAACATGATGCAGGCCCAAACCTGTGACTGTGTATTAGCACGTGAGATGATTGAGTGATTTGGTGTTACTTGCCATGATTCGAAAGTCGACCTTCCGGATCAGGGCATATTCCTCCGCCCAAGTCCATCTAGCCAATGGATCAAATCTGTGGACATTCTCCCTGAGTTTTACGTCAGACCTGCGCGCGCTTGCAAGGACAACCCAAGATGGAAATACTCACCAGTCTGGTCGAGGGTGGTATTTTTCTGCTGTATCGGGGTCATCGAATACGCTTGGCTTTGGCTTATCAGAACCGTTTCAACATCTCTAGAAATGCATTTATCGGCATCCAACATACCTGGGTGGCAATGGCAAACGGATCGTAGTATTTGTCTCGTTGGAAGAAGAATCTCTTTTCCTCTTTGGGTGCACCTAGGGGAGGGATCCCCTCTAGAGATGCGGTAGATTCCGCCCCCTCTCCCTTTTGCAGAGGGTCTTTCGCCAGAACCGTTGCCATGATCGCAAAGAGGTTATGGCACGGGCTTCGAATGTCGTTGAAGTTGAGGCTGAACGATGACCATCTGATGAGATATCTCCTCGGAGAAGAATTCCCCTACTACTTAAAGAGAATTGAAGGAAGTAGTACGGTTCGCCGGATCTCGCCAGGTCACCACGGCAGACAGGGACCCTTCTTACAAGGTTGTGTTTCCACGCTGCGATGGCGAGTTGGATCCACAATATCACGCCCGCGTGGGATGTCGGAGCTGAATGGAGCTGAGCCTGGCTGTACTCGGTAAAGAAAAAGGAGTCGAGCTGGGTCAGCAGTGTCTCAATTCCCCATCTCTTATCTTCATGTTTCGCAATTGAGCAAAGTTTTGATCGAAAGTTGCCGACGGACCTTGGATGACGGATATGCCGTCGCAGCTGACGCACCTTTCGATCACTCGGGGGGTTGAATATTGGTGCAAGATGTTTCCATACGAAAGTTGTCTATTTACGCAAAAAGGGTTATCTTTACTGAATGGTCTACGTAAAGAACTTTCATTGCGCGTTCGAAGCCAGCGTGCATTGTACACTTTAACCCCGAGATGAGATGAACGTGAGAAATATTGCAGACACGGCCAAGCAGCGTTTGCACCCAACACAAGCCTTCCTCTCTGAAGCTATCCAAGTTTCTCTCGTAATCCACGGCTTGAATTCCGTATCTCTTAATTCCAATATTATGAATATGCAAGATACGCGTTACGAGGTTTTCTTCCGGACCCTGCAGCTAGCTTTGCCGCTCGGAGAGAGGCCGGCATCCACCCGGCTCCGGTGTCATTTTTTTGGTGTGTCGAGTAGCCTCTTAATTCATTGGACATAGAATACCGCTGTACTTTTGCTGGGAAATTTGTGAAATCCATTATCGCATGCCGTTTGGTAATGCTCACGGGGTGAGCATGTTGGTGGTTCTGCCACCCTTGCTTTGCAGCTTCTCGCAATAAACTATCATTCTGACGCAAGCCACCACCACGTCTTCTTATCAGTTAGGCTTGATCCAGACCTTGTGATTGGAAGCCAGCTGAAAAGCACCAAAAATTCGTCTCTCTCGGTACAAGTGAGTGCTGCCAAGTCGTTGGGTGTAGACATGCTGATGGACCTCTTTCTTTAGCAGTCGCGACTAGTGTCACGAACAAAAATTCATATATCATTTTGGTCGATAAGAACACCAAGTTCAATAGATTTACCATTTCAATGATGATGTCTGTTAGGTATGCGTGCATGGGTAGATCAAATATCCGAAGCATGATTGGCCAAACCAACGAGGCCGGCTGATCACATCATCCACCCTAGATCCACGCAATAGTGTCAAGGGGCTGGTCAATCACGAAATAGGCTCACCCGCTTTCACCATCCCGCCGAGCTCAATCAGCTTTCCGTCTGAAGATTGCGGGGTTCCCCAGGACATCCAATCCTACCGGATGTCGCTTCATTACGACACCATCCCGTAGCCGACGATGTCGCGACATGTGCAGTCAGCCAGCGCAAGACGCGAGCCGGTATCAAGAGCCGCTCGAGTTATAAAATAAGTCCATTCTCTCAGGTGGCGAGCAATTCACACAAGAATTTCTGTTGAACATCCAAGATCAGTGCTATTAAATCAACGCATCAGACAACCATGGCTCCTACAGCAATTGAATCAGAACTCCCTATTCACACCAGCACAAAGGCGCCGGCGTATCCGGGGCCCTTGAAGCTTTCCTCGTCGCTCGACAGCTACGAGTCGTTTGATGTGACCCCTGTCATTGGTCGCGAGTTCCCGAAGGCCAACCTTGTGGAGTGGCTGAACGCTCCGAATGCTGATGAACTTATCAGAGACCTCGCTATTACCAGTAAGCCATAACAGCATGTCCTGACACTATGGAAAACTGATGAGTGCAAAGTTTCCCAACGCGGAGTGGTCTTTTTCCGAGCTCAAGACAACTTGACCAATGATCTGCAAAAGCAGCTAATTCTCCGGCTCGGCGAGCTCACCGGCCGCCCGAAGGAGTCCGGACTCCACATCCACCCGGTCCTCAATTCGGAGCGGGAGCTTGGTGGGTCTGACCCGGAGATCAGCACTATCAGCTCAGTGCAGCACAAGAAGATCTACCGCAAGCCTCTGGAGGGCGAGGAACTCAGTCCCAAGAAACAGTCAACCGCTCAGTGGCACAGCGACATCGCCTTTGAGCCTGTGCCGGCAGACTACTCATCCCTTCGTCTGGTTCAATTGCCCAAGACTGGTGGAGGTAAATGATCCGCCCACTCCGCTTCGTTATCAGTAATCACTGACCTGCGAGTTTAGACACTTTGTGGGCTTCTGGATATGAGATCTACGATCGCCTTAGCGCTCCGTACCAGAAATTCCTGGAGAGTCTGACTGTGACCTTCGAGCAGCCCGGCTTCGCCGCGGCAGCAGAGCGTGGCGGCTTCACTCTCTACGACAAGCCTCGCGGAAATCCCAAGAACATCGGCAGTATCCTCAAGGCGGTGCACCCTATCGTCAGAACCAACCCAGTCTCTGGCTGGAAGAGCATCTTCCCTGTTGGAGGCCATGTAAAGCACATCAACAGTGTCACCGCTGAGGAGAGCAAGCACCTCCTCGATTGGTTTCTTGATATTCTGCAAAAGAATCACGATCTTCAAGTTCGTCTGAAGTGGCAAAATAACAACGACATTGGTGAGCTTGCTCCACAACACATACGAATCAGGCTAACAAAAAATGCAGCGATTTGGGACAACCGCAGTACTTTCCACACCGCGACCTTTGACTACGATGACCAGGGAGAGAGGTTCGGTAACAGAGCGGTTGGAATCGGCGAGGCGCCCTACCTCGACCCAAATAGTACCGGCCGTCGGGACGCTCTGGGGCTAGATTACATCACTGGGCCATAGACATGCAATCAGAGACGCCGACGACGAGATATTTTACTTTTCTTGCATGCACAGAACTTGCGTATCAATCTCATACATTTACTTCTGTCGGGAGATCACTGTCCATGTCGAGTTTCCATGCTTGCCCGTCTCTTACAAAATGCTATGGGTAGCGAACGAAGGACACCGTTTCAGGCTTGCAAACTTCAGCAACAATGCGATTCGGTATGGCGTCGGGGGTTATTCTTTGTTGATTAAACGACAAGACTAATTGATATTGGGCATTCGAATGTAGTCTACAGCCACAGCGTACGATATTTAACAAGAGAATGGGCATTATGGCCAACATAAATATGTTCTTCGTTTGTCGTTCGAGCTGACCAACACGTTCTGTCAGACTGTGGTGAGTCATATTATCAATCATCATGCAAATAAAGGGAGTAAGTGGGTTTGTGGCTCCGGCAAGAACAAGTCATAACATTCTTCCTATGACATGGATAGTATCTATGTGGACCATTATTTGCAACACCTGCCCTTCAGCTGGTTCCGTCCGCTGGATGGTCTACTGGCCGCATCCCTCACTTTGGAACAAATGGGTCCCCATACTCCGAGGGTGAGTCAGCCAGCCAGGCGTACCACTGAGACCAAGTCTTTGGCTTGTTTGCCTCGAATTTTGAGTAATCGACCCCGTCGAGATATTTGGTGCAACATGTGAGCTTGTAAAGCCAGTTTGTACTTTTCTCGTGTCTGTCCGTATCTAAAGTTTCCAACGACGTGCTACTGCTGGGCGATCCAATCGACATGGGCCAGGCATCAGCGAGCTTTTGCTCATCCTCATATTTAATGTCGACTCCTTCAATCAAGTCGTCGAGACTTGCTGGTGTTCTTGCACCTTCATAGAGCAGAACCACTGCGACATCAACGTTAGGGTAGCCTGGGGGAGTGAAGCATTATTGAAGTGGTGTGTGACCCGCAGTGTTACCCGCATTGATATCCGCGCCATGTTCTAGCAGTAGTTGTATGATGGATCGAGGGTCTGTCGTCAGAGGATCATCTGTGTCTTCCTCTGACCTCTTGCACATCGCGACATGATGCATTGGTGTGTTGTCGAATGCATCGCGTATGTCAACACTCGTCGTGGTCTCATTTAGGATAAACCTAGAAGTATCGACATCTCTTCCACCACAGGCTTGATGAAGCGCGTGGAGCTTGGTACCGAGGTGGGTTATCAGGGAGACGTCTGGATCTACCAGCACGTCAAAAGTGCCTCTGAAATTATTTGAAATCCAGTGCTCCAGGCGTAGGGCTTCTACCAGCATCTCAATAGTGTCTTTAGAAGAAGTCGAAACCCAGTTCTCCTGGAACTTCTTGGCGGAGACATTGATGAGTGCGAAGTAAAAAACATTGGGACCCTTCTTTAGGATCGACTTTAAGTAGTTGATCATGCGAGACCTATCCCATGCTTAAGAGCTTGGTACCTGGAGCTGATTGATGGTTGGTTCGAACTGATTTAAGACGGCATCGAGCGATTGGCAAATGAGCCTGTTGTCCGCCGTGAAGGAATCGACGGTGGATTGTCCGAAGTCGATGAAAGCGTTGTCATCTATGTAGCGAAGAGATTGTAAATCTCTATTGAATGCCGCCCAGTGAACAGCGGACACCTCGTGATGCCATACAGTAGTCCGCTCGGTAGTCCCGCAACACATCCATGGATCATCATGGGCAAAGTATTCCTCGTCATCAAACTCTCGGTATGCGGCGAATACATCCCCTCCTTTCATAAGAGACTTCGCAACGCCAGCTGAATTACCCTTCATTGCCGACAGAATCAGGGCGAAGGATTCGTTATATATAGCGTCTTTCTGGTAAAGGACTGGCCAGATAGCATTGTAGAGAGTCTTGCAGGTGTACATCAGACGGATGACATCCCTCCAGACGTCAAAATGGGGCCAGTCCCTTACACCCAGATAGTCCAGTTCAGCAACCCAATGCGTCCAGGGCTTGCCGTAACCACGCCATAAATCTTCGGGGTATAAATTGAAAATTTCATCAACAATATTGAAGATTATTTCTACCGGCAAGTCGAGTATCGTCAGCATATGTCCAGCTGGTCTTTTTGTACACGTCGTTACGTCTTGTAAATCGAGATTGGCTCCAAGTCTTGCTGGGTTGGACTCGGCCATACTGTCGCGATGTTGAATCATGCTTTCTGACATTGGGACAATAATTCAGAGGCCGTGTGAGAGAGCTCTAGAGAGAAATGATATTTGGGGCGTGAGGAAAACGAAGTTTGCCAAAGGGCAGTCGGATGGATTTTAGCTTTAAATGAATACCGAGGCTGTGAGTCACTAGAACACATCTGTACTTTGACTTTTGGCTGTCCCGCGCCACAATCAGCAACATTCCGGAGATGCACTGCCATACAGAAAGGTCCTCAAAACTCATGTCAACCCTTTTCACTTAGGTTGCAGGTCCATGCACCTTCTTGGTCATGATTTATAACGAGTCCAATTGAAAGCCCGGCTATTTTACAACAAAATTGTACGTTCCAGATGCCACGTTGTATGACGACTTTCCGCTACTACTCTCAGCGAACTCAACTCCCTCAGAATCAACCGCATTCTTGTCATTTTCATATACCAATTTCCCATCAGGCACTGGTAGGGTGACCAGGGCATATGATCCAGCGGGTATCGACAGGGTAAGAGCGAACTGGGCGGTGCTGTTTGTCCATGAACTGATCACTTTCCCAAGAGGTGTTTGGATAGATCCTTGGGCACTTGCCAAGTCGGCAGGGACAAATGGCGCAATCTCAATGCTCTTATACCCTGCCGTCGTTATCTTGATACCTGCAAGATGCTGGTAGAACCAGTCAACCACAGTGCCAAGGAACGGGTGGTTCTGGGATCGCGAACTACCAGCCCATTCTTCCCACAAGCTGGTTGCTCCAAGACTCTTCCAATAGCCCCAGCTAGGGTATGTAGTCTGTGTTGCAACACTGTAGGCCAGATCGATGTATCCATATTCTGTCAGCAACGGTAACAGCCACTTGGTGCCGGCCACACCGGTTCCCAAATGGTTGTCCCTCGAAACCACATCTGCAGCCACCTTGTCAATGACAGCCTGACGCCTTGTGGGGCTTGTCATCTTGAAGGCAACCGGAAGCAAGTTATTGGTCTGAGCAAATCCCCCCGTAGAAGAACTGCGATAGTCTCTGTCGCAGGCTGGTAATACGCGTCATGGAATGATGAGTTGACAGCTGCTGCATGCGACGTGTAAGACTCTACATCGGCACTGTAGCCCAGTATGGTAGCCATCTGAATGACTCTCGTAATGCTGCATTACAGATGCGCTGTTCCCACAATACCCTTGTCATTGATGGAAGGTGTCACCCAGTCGCCCCAAGACTCTAGCCCGATCAGGCCACTGCTGTTGCGATGGTTTAGTTCGTAGGATAAGTATGACTTCATCGATTCGTAGAAACGTGAGAGCAAATTGACGTCGCCGGAGTGCTGGTACAATTGCCACACAACCTCGGAAAAAGCGTTACCCCAGGTGGGACTCGGGAAGGGGTCCATTTCCAACGGTGATGGAGCCCAAGGTGGAAGGTTGCCATCAGCAAGTGCCGAGTCCGCGATGTCTTGCGCCCACTTAGTGTACAGTGATTTGACGTTGAGAGAACTGAGTATTGTTTCGGACATGACCGCCGCGTCAGATAGCCATGGCTGCTTTTCAAGATACGCGCCGTCGGTGGGAACACCAACGATATTGTTAAGCATGGACTGCCAGGTGGTGTCATGGATCCATGTCAATGTGTCGTCAGAGGCAGTGAACCACCCAATGCCTCTCACATCGCTGTGTAGGCGCTGAGCTACAACGGTGCCGGCGTTGGGTGTTCCCGCGACGCCTGTCAATTCGATGTATCGGAAGCCGTAGTACGAGTGTCGGGGGATCCAAGTGACGGAGCCCGTTCCGTCATGAATGTACGTGCTGTGTTGCCAGTTACCGCCCGTATCCTGAATTCGTCCCGTCGATCTGAGCTTTTCCCCATAGTGCATCCGGATTGAGGCGTTGTAGGCCTCGTTGACAGTCAAAGCCCCGACTCATGCGATGTTTCGACCAAAGTCGTATACCCATACCCCAGATTCCGGGTTGGTGATGGATACGGCCTTGATACTTTCCTTGATTCGCACGGGCTCTACAGGAGAGGACTGAATCTCGGTACTTGGCAGCGTTTGAACGATAGCATTTGGCCAGGTCGAAGCATTAAAGCCAGCCTTCTTCCAGGCTTGCGACTCGATGCGTGAATCAAAGAGCTCGTTGTTGGGAATGGCGCCAGTGCGGGTCGAGCCGCCAAGCTTTCCTCTCCAAGGGCTGTCCGTTACAATTGTTTCCGTCGTATTGTCCTTGAAGGTGATATAGAGCTGGGCCTTGGTACGCATTTTCCCGTCCCAAGCGCCACGATTCGCCTCCGCGCCCCAAGAGCCAAGGGTAGACCAGACTTGGCCTACTGCGATGCCAATCGCATTCTAGCCCTCGATGATCTGCTTGGTAACATCGTGTGTGTCATAGGAGGACCGCTTGGCGTACTGTGTCCAAGAAGATGCGAGATACAGGTCGCCGACTCTCTGGCCGTTGAGGTACGCCTCATAGCCGCCAATCGCAGTGATGAATAGCTTTGCGCTGGCAATCTCCCGGGAGACGTCAAAGTCGGTGCGTAGAATTGGCTGGTCCACAGATGGATTCGCGGCCCCTATCCACTGCGCAGACTCCCAGTCTTCATCAGCGACTAAACCGGTTGCAAAGGTACTTGTGGACCATTTTGTCCAACCTCCGGAGTTATCCAGCAGTCGGACTTGAAAGTTGAAGTTGGTTCGCGAGGGCAGACTCTTTCCAGAGTAAACCAGACGGGTTACGTTTGTTGCCACAGTGCCGGAGTCCCAAAGGGGAGATGTTCCGGTAGCTGGCAAGACTTGAACTTGTGCAGCCGTGAAAGACGCTCCACGAGCCGCCACACTCCCGATGATCCAACCGAAGGTAGGCGCTGCATTATCGACACCCAACGGGGTCACAAGATCATTGACCGTAACGGATGCGATGCTGATCTGGGCTGCGGTAACGGCGGCAGCGAGTGCAAGAACATGCATAAAGGTTGCTGCATACATGGCGAGTTACTTGTGGGTGAACCAAGGCGTGAAGAAATCGAGAATCCCATGTAGATGTTGTGACCATTGGCTAGATATAAGAGATGCCCAAAATGAGACTCGGGGTTATACCGATCGCCGAAATAGCAGGGGTTCAGCTAAATCACCGAGAAGACAGGCAATTTTCTGTAACATACGGTACAGGCACAAACGCAATGCATTGTAAGAGTTCGTTGTCTTGAGTCATAGTCTTCTGATAGTGTGCTCGAGTATTGAGGCAGCGATCTCGGGCGATTTGGAACCGAACAGCCCAAATAGATAGGTTGGTAGTCATGGTGTGTTAGCATACATCCCGAAACAGTAATGGACGGAGCTATCCGACATTAAGGATGCGGAGCACCTCGCCTACGTTACTGCCGAGATCACGAACGCCAGTACGGCATTCGGTCATATGCACGCTCAAGTCCTGAGGACCCGGCGAATAAGTTAATTGCGAGATCGCCGGTTTGTCAATGCTGCCCTTTTTGGACAACCTACCATCGGCTTATGCCCGTTTGATAAAAGAGTCTCAATCCGATTGGTCACAATGATGGAGCTTGATCATGTTTCAGTAAATGATACTATTCCGACCCAGTAACGACAGTGATTTCTTCCTCTTTTTTTCTCCTCTCCCTAGCCCCAAACTCCCTCGCTTCCTTAAATTCCTCAATGTTTTGGAACCTAGGTACGTACAAAGATACTACTACAATGTATGATTGGCTGTTGCTCTTGATCGCCTGCCGGCTTGCTTGCCATGGCATGACTATGGACGATTGATGCGGCGTGGGAGACTGACCGGCTAGGCCTGCGTCGACCATCCCTACCGAGTGCTGAATTACATGGGAAGATCCTATCTGGATGGATATGATGGACATGACTTTGCATGGAAATGAACAGGATAAAAGCCCTACGTAAAATAGGAAAGATGGCAAATGCTGGGCAAGTGCACGCTACCTACGATTAGAAGCTAAACAGACCACTGCGACGCTTGCCGAGCGGGTAGATAATAAGAGAGCTGAGGAACAGGCCAACGGCGATGCCGATGGCGATCTGGATCATGGATGCGGCGACGTTGAAGACAACCGAGTTCATCTCGGTACTGTCGTACGTGACGGAGCTCGTGCCGTTGACCGAGTGCGTCGAGTTTGTGATTTTGTTGGCTGTAGTTAGACCGCTCAGAAGACCGCCGGTGGATGCGAGACCTCCTGGCACCTGGGTGAAGATGGCAGGGATGAGAGTTGCGGCGGCGACTCCATGGCGGACACGTGAGTAGAGGTTGGCGAGGACTCCGACGGTAAGAGCGCCAAGGGTGTTGGCGACCTGGGGAGCTGCGCTGAATCTGAGACCGGAGAAGTAGTTTACCATGTAACCTTGGGCCCAACGTTAGATCCGAGGTGTTACAGTAAAACAATTCAAGTGTTGAATGCTTACCTGCAAAAGCGACGACCAACATGACGGGCATTTGTCGCCATTTGGCTTGGTAAAGGATGGCAATGCAGACAACGAACAGGGGGACGAAGATGAATGTCAGGTAGGTGGGGATCTGGTTCTCGCAGGTGGTCGTCGAAACGGCGTTTTCGTCTATGAGACCGTATATCGCAGTGCCGATGGTGATACCGAAACCGAGGAAGAGACTGTATATGACGGCGTAGACGATTCGGATCGATCCGGGGACGATGGCGCGGGATTGGAGCTCGAGGGCGGAACACACTGGTCCATCAGCGGCTGTCCTCAGTTTCCTGCGGCGGCGCGACGCTACGATAGCAGCCGCGCTGGCTTTTGCTGGAGATGGCACGCTCGAGTCTGGCACCAGGTTGCTTGGAAGCCTGGCACCGATCGACCGGCGGCACGCGAGATGTCCTAATGGGTGCCCGTAGGCTAGTAGAGCCCCAATCAAGGGGGATACAACCAACAAGAGGCGAGGGGGAAGGTGGAATGACAGAGTTCGGAGAGAGATGACTTACAAACCATGTATCCTGGTAGAAGCATGACGATGCCTCCTTGGGCTATTGCCGAGAAGCAGAAGAGGTTTCCACCTCTAATGCTGCCGAAGGCTCGGGCCAAGAAACTTACCAGGACGGTTGCCGTGACCTCAAGAACATTGCTGTAGAGCTTGGATTGGGCAGCTACTATGAGCTGGAGGAATCCGACGAGGCAGCCGAAACAGAATGCGAGCGGTAGATCAATAAGGCGGGCGCCGAAGGAGAAAGGTGCAGCAGTGACACTGGTGAGGCCGAAGACGAGGACTCTGATCCAGACGTGGAACTTGTCCTTGGACTTGATGAGTGCATCCAGGCGTTCGATTCCCTCGTTCACTGAGACAACGTCGTGGATAACTTCCTTGTAGACATGGTGGGTGTCGCGAAGTTTGCCAAGGTCGATTCCCTGTGCTGCGCGAACCATTCGAACTTCAGTCGTGTGTACAGATCTGTCGTCGAAGCTGATGACCATGCAGCCAGGACTTGACGGTGTTAGCGTATGCTCGTTCAATGTTTCGTGTAGTGAAATGAGACTTACAGATACAAGAATTGGCCATCAATCTCAAGGACCTTGGCGGTGGTAGAGAGATACTCTTCCAGACGATGAGTAGGAGCACCAAAGAGCATCAACGCGCGGCAGAGAGTGATGATGTACTCCTGACGGGCGAGGGTCTCTGCAATGTGAACTGTGATCTTGGCTTCCTCCTCTTCTCTCGCAAGGTATGCGCTGATGCGAGAGTTGCTGGTAGTGCGCTTGTGTTTGGGACGCTGCTTCTTCGCGGCCTTGCCATCTTTTGGCGATCCTGGGCCCTCGCCCTGCTGGTTGGGGTTGGCGAGGCGTGCAGAAGCCTCAATCAAGTTGACGAGGGTCTCCTGGGACCTGTTGGCCTGGTACCATTTCTTACGGCTAGGAGTTGCGGTGCCGGTGGGAGTAGTAGTGCCGGACTCGGAGCCAGGAGTGCCGGTTGATAGAGGTCCTCCGAAATTAGAGAAAGAGGCGACAGAGTTGCGGTTGTTGGGCGGCTGCACAGGACCCTCTGCAGGCTTGTACAGCTTGAGAAGCTGAGACAAGACGCTGCCGCGATACTGCTTCGGCGGAGGGACGACGTAAACACCGTCATAGTTGCCGTCATTGACTTCAGGGAGGAGGTGGTCGGTTTGCTCAGTCTTTTCAGCATCTTGAGCATTCGACGGGCCGGCCTCGCTCTCAGTCTTGTCGGCAGTACGCCAAGTGTGGGCCCGGACGATTCGGTAAGCTTCCGAGTTGAGTTGTGCCTGGTGTTCATGCTTCTCTTCCTCTTCTTTGGCCTTTCCGGTCAAGGGTTGGTCAGAGTTGAGGTCTTGAAGGGGAATGTAGGCTCCCTCTCTGCTGGGCGGTTCATACTCGCTTGCAGTAGTCGTACCGGCGGATTCAACGGATACTCGGAACTCTCGGGTAGGAGATCCGAGCTGGATGTTTGCGGCAACCTGGCGTGCACGTTCCTGAGCAGCGGCAGCGGCAGACTTGGCCTCCTGGCGCTCGCTATCAACCGAGGGACGCGGGTTGTCCTGGGCAAGTGTTGCAACAGTGGGAATAGAGCTTCCGGAACTGCCTCGCAAGATGGACGGTCTCGGCGGGTTTGCCGGAGTGGGAACAGGCAGAGTTGCGTTGGGTGGTGGTGAAGTTGGGGGCTGGGTCACGGCCGCTCTGCTATTGAAGCGTACACGGCCTTTTTCCTTCTTCAGGGCGGCTGCAGCTGCGGCCTCGGCGTTGCTAGTCGATTGTTCGGCCGGATCGGGGTTAGGCGTGACTGCGGCATTCTCGGGAGTTGTGCTTCCGGAAGCGCTGCCGGATGCAAACCCGGGAGAGATGCCGCCGCCGGGCTCGGGGCCGGGGTCGTCATCTTGAGAGGCGGGTGAGTTTTCGACCATTGCATCGAGGGTCAGCACGACTCTTCTGGTTGGCGGCGGAGCGGGATGGAGCCGTTGACAAAGAGGTTGCAGAGCAAAATATTAAATAATGCCACAAAAGGTTTGCTGTGGGAGGCCAGAGTGGATCGTGGGGGGGAGCAAAATCTGGGGAGCGTCTTCTTTCTTATGAGCGAACCGGTCCGGTGGTTCGTGACGCGGCAAAGTTGAAGCCCGCGGAGCCACCGGCATCTGCGAAATTCTGGAAAAAAGGGTTCTCACCGGAAGTGCCATCTCGTATCCATATATCTCCACTTGGGCCGAAACAACTGGACATGACAGCAGATCGAATTTCCTGGCTGGTACTAGCACACCATATTTGGCGCGGGTTCATTAGGGCAGAAGCCGGGCTCCGGCACTCTGTTACCTAATAACATCGGAGCTGCCTTTCGTCATTCGTCAGGGGTTCTCCCTGTGCGTCCCTGTGCGGCCACTGTTCTTGGCTGTGTGCACACTTGAAACTGGTGTAATGGCGTCATTGGCTTTCCCAATTCTCTTTGACGCGTTGTCGGCTGATGAGCTGGCGACGTGTGAAGTGGTGATGGACAACAGATCAGTTGAGATGACACAATAGTGTCGATGCGCCCAAGAGCCGCAGCTAGAGCCGTTGGACTCTCCCTTAGGCCCGATCCCGGCATGGTGCATAAGACTGGTGTGGCTCGAAGTGAACCCCCCGCGCGGAAGGACCCGATTTGTCCTGCAAGACTGTCATCCGAACATAGCCAACCAGAGCGCGGCCAGAGCATTCTGTTACCATAAATATCAAGCATCGTCAGGGGCACATCAAGGGTCTTCCCGCAAACTCCATGCTCAGTGTCACCAACTCACCGGCTTTCAGAACCACCCATTTCAATTTTTGGAACACCTTTTGCACGGCCTTGTGTGGCTTTTCAAAGTCTGGACTCTATGGCGGAGTTTTTGGATCGTCAACCCCCTTCCCGGTATCCGAGTACTTGATTCATGACTCCTGGATCGGCTTGGCCAGAACCACGTGCAGCACCCACACGTTGTTGTTGGCCATAGCTTTCACAAACACCCCTTTTCTCGTCAACGGGAGTCCTCCTCTGCTTGGCTGCCATCTTCTCATTCCTTGGTCATCAGATCAAATTTTGCCTCACAGCCACAAAAATCATGTCGCTTGGCCGTGATCAAGATTTGGTTCAAGCTCGAGTCTCAGCGTTGTATTGTTCAAAGGGGTTCACGCAGACTTTGGATGACCCACTTTGTCACACCAGAAGGAAAAATGTTTCCGTCCAACATATGCAATGCACTCAGCAGAAGCTCTTCTTGTTTCAAGTGATCCATGCACAAGCTGGCAGGTTAGCTGTTCGAACTTCAAGTAGCACTTGAGGGAGGCACGCAGGGATTTGCACTTTCTGAACTCACGAACCTGACCGCTCGTAGTTTCACAGAGCTGCACAGGGTCGTTTGCCACCCACGAGGTTTGGTGGGGTAAACAGCCCTGGGATCGGGCATGGAGAGCTAAGCTACTTTTGAGTTTCGCCCCGTGAGCTCGTGACTGAAAACTTTTGAAATTGACTGAACCCTGGAAAGCATACGCGGAATTTGCTTTGCCGTTGGGAGCGCGCCAAATCACGACAATAGTCATATGTTCCTGTCATGTTGTGCTACGCGAGATGAGGGGCTGCCCAACCGCGATTATCGTGAAGCGGTGAGACATGAAAAACTTCACAAAGGAGGCGGAACGTTCGAGGCCTCCGACATCGCTCTCAGTTGACGGTTCTTGATGAATGATAAAGGGGTTGAGTGCGCGTCTGGATGCCGGAGGGGAGATGACCAGAATCAGGAGAAGCAGAATTCACAAGACTTCAGGCTGTGTCGATGAGTTTCGGGCAGGCTAGAGGCATGTTACTAAACAGTTCAGATAGTGCCTTAATGTTTGGTCCCAGTTCGACGAGCTCTCATAGACGCCGCTGCTTAAAATTTGGCTCTTCGACCGTTTCGAGTTGCCCGGGCCGCGGCCACAAGTGGGGCTCGTTCTTCCTCGTCTCAGACTTCGGTATTGTTACATATCTGGAGTACGCGCTGCGACTTGAATATGACACCGCCGTCAATTGGGAAGCATCACACGGAGTCTATTGACCATCCCCAAAATTACTCGGTGTTGCAATATTGTCAGATGGCCTCATGATTAAGAGGACTACGTTTGCATCACTTGCCTGTCTAGTTCTCTGTTAATAAATTTTGTGGCTTCAATATTCCGCTACAGAAGAGCACTAACTCCGGTAATTCTGAACGGGCACGGCCCGTGTTGAAATGGCTTCACAGTATTACAAAGCACTTTTGAGTTCTTGAATTAAGCTTCCTTCAATCGCTACCAAAGTATCTAGCCACCAACTACGGTGAGAGCTTTTCTTTTCTTCACATGCCGGAGAAATACTATCCTGAGGCTTGCATCACCCAATCGTGCGTCCAAGGGCAATATGGCCGATTTGAACTATTGTCTGTAACGGCGGCCTTTACAGGTAGTTACCTGTTTTCCCTGTTCCTATATCCGCCTCTAAACATATTACAACTCCGGCATGCGCCTTGACCATCGCTGTGTTGACCTCAGCTATCTGAGGTCACATATAATTGCAGTATCCGGAGTTGTGGCTGTCGAGCCGCGATCGAAGCTAGTCGATGGCCGAGACACGCCAACGGCAACTTGCATCGTCATGGTGGCTCACCTAGCTGAGATAAGTTGTGGCATTTTCAACTATCTTTGTACACTCATGATTATATGATATCTCATATCAGCTTTTGGGCATGAAGCAGCAAGCACCCAGCTGATCGAGTGTACCGGGATTTCAGAAGCCATTCTATTTCGATGGCTGAATTCTTCCGCATGAGAGCGCGTGATTCAATGTGACCAACTTGCGAACGTTCAAACATAATGTGAGACGCTAGACCTCATACCTCTTGTATTGGTTGGTGCCGACGTGGGAGTCAGAGTAAAACTTTGCGTTGTGTAGCCCTGGCGTGCTTCCTTTGAGACCAGTGATATCTCTTACTCAAGTTGCATCCTCGTCTCCCACACATGATATTCACTGTTTATTGATATGACAACACATTCAGCTATTGATATTCCTCAGATGTCATTAGGCATGTCCATGGGGATGAGACGGAGGACAGACATTCCCTGTGTCTATCTCTGACGAATCTGTAAGACAACAATCCAGACTGGATCTTGTGAGCTTCTCGTCAACGCTCGTTGGAGCCTGGAAATAAAACAGAAAAAGCTGGAACTACTTGGAGCATGGGGTGCGATAAGTCGTGACTCTCAGACTTACATATCTTATTTGTGTTTCCTCTGGTCTTCCATACCGCCTCTACGCATATCTTGATGCTTGATATGCTGTTACCGCGGTTCCTCTTCGCCATTTACCACTTCATAGGCTCAATCTCCTACCAATGACATTGACATTGAAGAGTAGTTTAACTCCAAACTCAATACGTTTACGCCCACTAGTATGTTTTGAAACGCTACCTTGAGCTTGCTACTTTCATTGGAAGCTTATGCATAAAACTATCTTATCACCCACCCTCAGACAGTCAGACTTCGGGCGGGTGATAACGGGGAGTATACTAGGAAAAGAACAAAATGCCAAAACGACCATACGGTCAAACTCCGGTCTCCCAACCATCTCTATCCCACGACATTTCTGACTTATGCCAGTATGTCGGGTGCCCAATGAGACGCGTGCTATCAAGGAGATCAAAAGTATTTACCGCTATTTCCAAGGTGTTCATCTTAGACATTGAAGTCTTTTAAAAGAGTTTCTTGAAAACATAGCTAAAAAACGCTCATTGTTATTGCTGTTGTTTTACTTTTCGACCTTTCACTTCATGTGTGGGGAAACCTAGACTTTTTCAAGCAATACATCTCTTAATAGGTGGATGATGTATCAATCAGGCATTGAGCCAGTCTAAATCATCTAATTATTATTAAATTCCCCCCAATACGCACCCTAGCGCCAGGACTACCACCGGACTGCAGTGAAAATAGCAAAGGGTCCTCTGATGCAATACGAATAACTTTATGTCGAAAACTTGTATCAGCAACGCCCATGGTAAAACCTGCGGTCTTCTTATTACGAGCCTAGACAGTGCTTTTGAGGACGTCAAAAAGAAGATGGTGTAGTATGTGTCAATAAAGTATTTCGCAAGGGGCTCGAATCTTGTAGCTCCGAAGTCCTTACAAACTCCATTGTTAATGAATGAAGGGCTCCTAAATTTAATGCAGAGACACTAATTTTGTTGCAGTAGAGTCATGTTCGAAGAGAAAGCGCAAGTCAAGTTAAGGAAACATCAAAACGAGCGCGATAGATGGCAAGTTTCATTTGGTGCACACTTCACATGGCCCATGTGCTTTCTCAACCTACTTTAAGGTAGGTACTGGGACTAGGTAGGTAGTCTTGTGCATCAGCTCCACCACGTCTGCTCAAACATCTTGCGGATCCATCCGGATATTAACAATCAGATAAGAAATCGCCATGAATTGCTCTGAAAGCTTGGTAAGTCTGTCTCTCTTTTTTATTTTTCCGCGCTCTCGCTATGAACCGCGGAGCTTGACTACTCCCGCAGCGCTCGACCTTACATTGCATGCAGCCAACAAGGTAGCTTCTGCTACGGGTCCCATTGTGCGCCTAGGCAATTGATAATCTGATAAACATTCTACGCACTTGCAAATGCAACGTCAGCGAGCGAATTTGAGAAGCTTGTAGAGTTCCGCCGAGAATGTGCTCGGAGATCGAACATTGCATGGGGATGCCTGCCCGTTAGTTTGCGAGTAGGTCACATGGATACATGCACCCTGATGGTGCTGGCGGAATGGACCCCTGCAGGGTCGGACAACACTCAAGATTGAGATTGCCTTGAGCGCAGAATTCGGCAAAGCTCCCTCCGCAGATGCACATCCATGGATGCATATTCTTTCCGGAACTCCACATGGTGGGCGTGTGTTTCTTCAACAATTGAGTAAAAGCCGGCTCTAAACTAATCCCTGCAAACTGACGCATGCTTGGTCGTCAAAATCCATCCGTGGGGGGCCTTTGGGAATCCGTAGGATTAGGATGCAAGGACTCATGTTCTCAGGTACTAAGATAGTGGAGGTTTGGTTAGATGGTTCTCGGGCAATCACCCACTAATCATACAGATAGCTCGAGTCAATAAACACTCACCTAGGTCCACGTTGAGAGTGCTCTCGGCTGTCTTGTAGACCTTCAATTTGTTTTTGATTTTGCTCACGAGCACAGTCTCATAGTGAGACTGCCCTTCATACCACGCAATGAAGATGCATCCGGCGCAGATCTTCGCCGTGGCTGTACTGCCATTTGCGGCGTCCCAGATCATCTCAACTGGTTCAACTCTTCTTCTGAATGGGATCCCATACTTGATTAGCCCCCACGTCGCCGCAAACATCTCCCTCCAATCAGACGTTCCCGCAGATATCGATGGTGTCTTGGATTTCGTTCCGGTCGCCGTCTTGCCTACGGCGCACGATAATCTTTCCGACGTTTTCACTGCTTGGACCAAAGCCGACGACGTGTTTCAATCTGGGTTTGCACAGCTTCTCCTCGATGGAACAAATAACTCGGAGACCTCGACAGCTAAAGCTATCCATAATATTAGCGAGACACCCTCTACAGTGGTCAGCTTCACATCAAGTGTCAATGTGCCGAAGGGACCGTACTTTCTGCGCAAAGCCACAGGAGACCTACATCAAGCGTACCGGCTGTATGATGATACCGCCGGTGCGTTCACCGAGGCCTTACTAGGCAACGACGATGGCACTTTTCAAGTCTTGCCAGCCAAGATTGCCGGTTCAGCTACGTTCACGATTGGCGTACCTTCGCGCTTGTATTACGAGCCTTCAGACTCCAAGCCGTTGGCTGGTGTCCGCATTGCCGTGAAAGACATTTTCTCGCTGGCCGGAGTCAAACAGTCGAACGGGAACCGTGCATGGTACCATTTATACCCGGCCAACAACGTCACTGGAACGGCCATCTCAAGGCTTATCGACGCCGGCGCTATCATTGTGGGCACACAGAAGCTGTCCCAGTTTGCGACGAGCGAGGTTGCTACCGTCGACTGGGTTGACTACCATTCTCCCTTCAACCCCAGGGGAGATGGTTATCAAGACCCGTCCTCTTCGAGCTCCGGCGCAGGTGCTTCTGTTGGTTCCTACAGCTGGCTTGATGCCGCTGTCGGAACCGACACGGGTGGCAGCATCCGCAGTCCTGCAGGAGTGAATGGCGTCTTTGGGAATAGAGCATCGCACGGTGCTGTGAGCTCCGATCATATCATGCCGCTATCAGAGCCTCTGGATACTGTCGGCTTCCTTGTTCGAGACCCAAAGCTGTGGGACAAACTCCAGGCTGTAACATATGGCTCCAACTACACTTCTCTGGCAACGTTGCAGCCAAAGTATCCGACCAAGATCATGACTGTGTCATACCCGAACTCCAGCACCGAAGCAGGCGTGCTTCTGAACAACTTCGCAACCGCTCTGGCCAAGTTCGTGGGTGGTAACGTGAGCACCCTGAATGTGGCCCAGAGTTGGGGCATACGCGAAACAAACCCTAACGCCGATCTTAACTTCACCGAGACTTTCAACATTACCTACCCAGTGCTCACTGGGAAGGGCCAGGACGATGCGGTGGTCCAGCCGTTCTACGCAGACTATGCGAAGCAATTCGACGGACGTCGGCCTTTTGTCAACCCTTCCCCGTTGGCACGATGGGCCTGGGCTGCCAACTACTCTTGGGATGAGGCCATGCAGAACAAGACAATGTTCATGGACTGGTTCAATGATCAGATCCTACCTCCAGTCAATGACAGCCTGCAATGCTCATCCGGCCTCATTTTGTATGCTGGGAAGACAGGAACGCAGTCTCCGAGGAATCGATACGACATAGCCCTCCCAGCGCCCTTTACTGGCTTCTCGGCCGCCCGAATGTCTGTTTTTTCGGGATGCCCAGACTTGATCTATCCAGTGGGCGAGGTTTCTAGCTTCAGCGCCCTAACCAACCACGATGAGAAGCTGCCGGTGGCTGTGGGAATATTGGCAGCGAAGGGCTGTGATGGACTTTTGAGCCGGCTGGCAATCGATCTGGTGAATGAAGGTATCTTGAAAGTGCCGGAAGCTGGCGGTACTCTTAGTGGTGGTCCAATTCTTGTGTAGATAAATTGAATATTTATTTCACCATTACCAACCTAGTATGATACGGACAGCGCATCTCTAGCAAAAGCACGGTCTATGAAAGTTAGGAATTGAAAATGAGTGACCCTGTCACGTTGATTATTCCAGCGTGTCACTTGCTGCAAAACTTCATGGGTTGAATCATAATCTCATTACATCTGCAGAATTAGAAGCGTGTCGGTGGCTTTCTAGATTACCCTAGAACTTCATCGCTGATTTTGCCCTTGTGATGTTCCTCTAAAACATAACTTTTCATGCGCGACTTCTTGAATCTTCCCATCTTGACCCACACACGTGTTCTACTGCATGTTGATCCATCGTCCCATCCACTGTTGGTTCAACTGCTTGGCCTCGTCGACCAAACCAATCTCTAGCAAGAGTTGAACAGCACCACGAACGGCGGAGTAAAGTGAAGAGCTAATCCATGCGTGCGTGGGGGCGGTGTGCTCGCCGAGAACAATGACGTTCGACTCAGTCTGGTGGTATGACGGGATGTACAACGCGTGCTGAGCCACATCCGGGCGTGTCCAGGCCGTGGCGATGAAAGGCTCGTCCAACCAGCACAACCGCTCGTAGGCGCCCGTGTACAGGTCCCGAACGTGCTCTCCATGGAGTGAAGCAATGGCGTCGAGGACCATTCCCACGTGCTGCTCCTCGCTGAGGCTGGCGAAGCGGCTACTCCAGTCACCTCCGCGGTAGTGCAGAATGAGGCCTGGACGCCCCGACTCGTTGTGGCCATAGACTGGGTAGTAGAGAGCGCCAACAGCTGCATCGGGGGGCGTCGAGTAACCGCCAAAGATAGGGCGGTCACCCTTCTCCCAGAAGCGTTCGCTGAAGAGCAGGCCAACTTTGCAGGCGTCCTTGAAGCGAACACCGCGTTCAGCCATGGCTCGCGAGAGGGTGGGTGAGAAGGATGGCAGGCGCATCATCCGCGTCATGGTGAAAGGAACCGCGAGCATGGTGTAATCGTAGGTCTTGCTCTGCTCAGCTGTCGGCTTCGTCTGGGTTCTGTTGGCATCAACATCGACCCAAGAGATCTTCGTGCCTGTGACCGCGTTCTGATCATCCTTGACGGCCTCAATCGCCCGGACCTGACGGTTCAGGACGAGACGATCCTGAACATGTGGTAGGATTGCGTCCGAGAAGCGGCTGAAGCCGCCGTCGACGCACCGCCATTCCGTCTCACCCAAGGTGCCCTTGCTACCATCCTGCGCCAGGTTCGAATTGTGATGCATCTCGTCCCAGAAGACGTCGTAATCAGTGGCGCCGTGGATAGCATCCACCACCTCAGCGCTCGCGTTCCAAACGTTGCGCATCATGCTCTGCTGGCTGACATCGTCGAGACCACTCTTCATAATGCGGCCATGTACTCTCCATACGTCCTTCTGGATCTCTCTGACTGTAGCTTCGTCGAGGAGAATGTTGCTCATCTTCGCCTTGATGTCCTTGTACTCCTGCGTATCCATCGGTGCCGGCTTGCCAAGGCTGGAGTTTGCGGCAATCTCGGCCCGCGTGGGGATGCTTCCGTCGGGATGTCTCCCGGTGCCAAGTGCCAGCAACTCATTAGGCGAGTGCTGAATCCAGGGGATGAAACTGATGTTCAGGTCGGATTGGCTGCCTTGGTTCATCTCATTGAGCCAGTCTGCCAACTGAAACGTCATGGCATGGTCGGAGTACTCAAGCGTCTCATTGTCGCTCTTGTACTTGATCTTGTAGGGAAGACGCATGGGGCCCATTTCCGCCCATTCTTGGGTGCCTCCAACATAGATAGTCCGCAGACGTCCACCGATTTGGTGACTAGCCTCGAGGATCTCCCAGTTGTGTACGCCAACGCTATCAAGCATGAGAGCCGTAGCTAGGCCAGTGATGCCCGCGCCAACGATGGCAATGGTGGTGTTCTTGGCTTGTTCGACATCTTGAGGTCCCGTGGCATTGATGGCGGCTACTTCTTCGAACCAGGCGCCGAGGGCGTCAAAGTCCTTCAGTAATGGCCGCTGAGAGTCGGCTGCTGCAAAGCTAGAGCCAGCATACAGGGCGGCCAGTAGGATTGAGCCTGTGCGAGGAATCATCTTTGGGAAATGAATGAACCGATGAATCGTGAGTTGCGATGTTTCCGTGAGAACAATTTCCTTCGCCACGGGGGCCTCAAAGACTTGGAGGAAAGACGATGTTGAATCTTTCCATCCGGAATCGGAGCCCAATTGCTTATATCTCCACGATGATGTCGTGGAAATGGAGTCATCTACAGGTTTTTTGATCGCGCTATTGATACAACTACCGAATTGACGACATTGGCCATAAAGGTTTGGCTTTGCAGCTGCATCCCGAGCTCGAAATTACCTCCGAATCCGAGTCGGACATTCAATGTGACTGAGTGATTAAACTGATCGCGCACGCTAGTCGTTGAAGTTCCATGAGATGATTGTTGAAGACAACCTTGATGACACGATCTTGCCACGGATCTGCAGTACTGGTGAATACTTACAGACTAGGTACTGGTGTTGGCCCACTCTGATGTTCAAATGACTGGGGCTGCGTAGCATTGCATGTTCTACGCAGGGAATGCCTTCGGATTCGGTCGCATTATGTAAACGACGCGGATAGTCGGACAGGGCAGTTCGGCGATACCACAAGGCGTGTGTTTAAACCACCACACCACACACCGTGGGGACCGAATTCAAGCTTGTGGTCCGCGGAGTGCATTAGGCCGATGGAGCACATCGCGGCTAAAAGGCTTATCAATCTAATCATAAACTAACAAGGGTCTTGTGTCAGCAGGTTTAGCACAGTGATAGTTTCCGAGCATTTTTGTCACGAATCAAGGCCGTGGTGTTGCCGCAGCATCAGCGTCGATCTTACTGGTAAGTGATGTGGCAGCCGGTGGGATATGGCTTCATGTTCAGCTGAGGTACCAGAGACCAGACGTATTCTTTCAGCCTGCCCCTCCACTAACACACGTGGACGCAACGTACTTCGGCAATATTGTAGATTTTCAAGCCAAGCCCATTCTAGCGCTACTAATGAGCTTTGGTACAAACTTGCCCGCTGAGTCGAAAAACTCAACACAACTCCGCTCTACTCCAAAAGTCTTAACCAGCCTCCTATCGCCGAAGCCCTCCTTCCGACGATCCTGGTCATTGTTGAAAATGTAGCTCAACGTTGTTCAATCTCGCCGATCACGGAGACTTCTCTGCGGCGTCAGCGTTTTCTTTCAGTTGTGCCTGATGACCCTCTTCTTTCAACTTGTGATCGTCGGGGCGGGACAAGTCAATGTGTGGCATCAAGAACCATGCTACGAAGAATGCTGCTGCTGCTAAGCCAGAACCAAGCTCGAAAATGACCTTGAAAGACTTCTGGTACGCGGGCGCGAGAACGGCTCTGATACGTTGCGCATCTTCATCAGAAAGCGACGATATGTACTGCTGTGGGTTACTGAGAAGCGAATCGCGTTGTTCCATACCCAGATCTAGACCATTGACCGAGCCCTTGACGATGTTATTCCTTGGAATTGTCAGTATATAGTGTCATCGAACGGACTGTGTACGCCTCTGGGAAGGTGACAAACAAAATTGTGCCGCAGATGGCAAGCCCAAACGTAGCCCCCAAGTTCCTCACAAAGCTATCCCACCGGTATCAGTATCACCAGTACATCTTCATCTCATAGCCAAGGGATGACATACTTGCGGAAGGATGTGACAACGGCCATGTCCTTTCTTGGAACGCCCGCCTGGATGGCAACCAGAGCTCTGCCGAGGACCGCGTCAGTACACAGCATAGTGATCGGGCGAAGCACTGATGCTTACGGCTGAAGGGTGTTTCCCACACCCACACCAATAAGCAGGGAATAGCCGATCTGCTTTCCTAGACCAGAAGTCTCGTCGAGGGTGGACATGAGGCCTAGACCAGCCGACCAGCAGAACCACCCGAACAAGATGCACTCGCGGTAACGTCCCACCCAGTGGACTATGAGTCCGGAGAGGGTACTGCTCGCAGTCTGCACGAGGGTGATAGGAAGCAGCATGACACCGGATCTAGTCGCCCCATAGTTGTAGACCAGCTGGTAGAAGGTGGGAATGTAGTAGACCTGAACGACAAAGTTCCACCCGTTAATGGCCATGGTGATGCATGCACCGATGGTCATGCGAGCGCGAAAAATGTCCACTGTGGAATTTGAAGGGATAAAGATTAGTCCTATAGGCGTGGTCAGGGGGAACATGGGATCTTACGAGGTACGAGCGGGTATCTCGGCCCCTTCCACTGCCACAAGACAAAGACGACGCAGATGAAGAACCCCACGAGGAGAGTAGTAAGGACAGCTGCAGAAGCCCAGGGATACTCGCCACCACCCCAAGTCAAACCAAGCATCAAGCTGGTGGTGCCAGCCAATGCAAGCAAGATGCCTACGAAATCGATGGCTCGCGTCTTCCTACATTGGGACGCCGGTGGTCAGCTTGAGTGCCACTTCACGAGGGGCTTCAACCGAGCGGAGCTCCGCTCAGATTTCGTTTCACGTCAGCCACTGACAGGAGACTACTTACACTTTCCAGTCCCCAGTGACCTTCCTCAGTGGCATGAAAAACAGGGCGCATACTGCAGACAGTGCCGTCAGGGGCAGATTGAGGCGAAAGATCCAGCGCCATGAGTCGCCGCCTTTGGAGGATAGTGTGCCGCCGATGACGGGACCTATTCCGTTAGCTAGTGCAGTGACGGCGCCCTGAGGGAACCGAGGTGTTAGTAGGAGGGTCGCCTGTGCAGGGGAGGGGGGTGTGGATGTTCATCTGTTCGGAAGAAAAGATATCTGATCAAATCTGATACCGTGGCGGGGAAGGGAGTCTGGGGTGGAAGTGGAATCGTGACCGGAGGAACTTGCCAGAATACCCTGGTATTTCCCTCTTTCGCGTAAAGGGACCACATCGCTGACGATCATCTGGGCAACTGTCATGAGTCCGCCACCGCCGAGACCCGTAAAACAACGGAAAATAATGAGTTGGGTAGCTGTCTGCGCCAGAGAGGATGCCAGCGAACCGAGGCCGAAAATGGCCAGTCCGACCATTAGGATCACCTTACGCGACCATATGTCCGAGAGACGCCCGTACAAAAGCTGCCCGACTGTGGATGTGCTATGCGGATGCATCAATCAGCGAGAGTTATCGTCAACCGAACAAAACTTACATGAAGTAACCATTAGCGAGCCAGGATAGCTGTTGTCCTGCATGAAGGTAATTGCCAACAATAGACAAGCTAGCTGCCAGGGTGGTCTGGTCCATGAGCGCTACCAGGTCCACGCTGGCGCATGCCAGGAAAATCTTTTCTTGTGAGTATTTGTCGCGAGAGCAAGCAGGGGGATAAAGTCGAATCCTCTGAGGCGGTGCAACCTACCGTGATGACCTTGACCTTCGACACGTAATTTGTCTGCTCGTTGAACGTGTGCGCCTCTGATTTTTTGTCTGTGGACGTTGGCGATTCCATCACAGTCTCCGTCGTCTGGGAGCTCTCGGGGGTATTGGTAATGATGCCCCCAGCCTCCCGAGGGCTGCTGTCAGCTGAATTATGTTTCTCGTTCATAGCTAGAGAGGAAAGTCGGTACGACGTGCAAATTCGGGTTTCCAACAAAGATGCGGTAGAAGCTGGAGTCTATCCTTTCGCTCACTACCTAGATGCTGCCTTTACACGATATCTGGGACCAAATTATACCTCGGAGAACTTCAAGGGACGAACGTGAAGTTCTGTAGACAGCTTGAAATGACGTGGCAGATCATTGAGAAGGTCTTGGCGGACCCTTGGTAGACTAGCAGTGTAGAATTTCGCCGTAGCATGCGCAGCGTTACGATCAATATTAGAACTGTCAAAAGTATTTGCTAATGATGTTGCGCTGAGCTTGCCGTCTTTTCCTTTTTTGAGTTTAATGAAGAGCTTTACCGCTATTCATCGATTTTGCTGTCATGGGCGGACCTTGTTCCACGCGGCATGTGTCGTGAGAGTGGGGGTGCCTGCTGCGACTCTGCCTCCATCGCCAGGGACGCCGCTCAACGGCGCATGTTCATGAAGGTCTTTGCCTTATAGTTGCACACCCTGAGATTTTAGTAGGTCTATGGGACGGGCCTTCTGTGGTTATGCAGATCATCATGCAAAACAAGCAATAGCAGGTCGCACTCGGCGAAGAGAGGATCCCTTCGGTGTTATCGGACATGCCGGCCACAGCGTTCATAGGTCACAGGGGGGCGGCGGAATGTCAATTCGGGACTGGGGTATGCAGTTCAGGACCCATTCGATCACAAACCTTTCGTGTATGGAAAGCTTCATCATGAACTTCCCACAGGTGACAGGTTCTTAGTTGAGTCATGTTTGATCCATTGAGCCATTTGTTTTGTGTGATCGGTTTCTGTCGGCGAGAATCACTCGTAGCTTCCCATACCCCTGCCGCGCGCGATTGACAAGTGTAGAGCGTGGTGAAGACGTGATGTAATTCCATTGGGCATGTAAGCGGACGTATTGTTCAGACCTATCGTCCGTGGTTATGCTTAATTGTCTGTGGTCTAGCTGGGAACATGCAATAATATCAAGGGCAGTCGCTTCACTTTGAACGTTTGAGATCTGTTGTCCTGAGTGCAACGTCCTTCCACAGGAGCAAAAGATTATTGTCTATCATTTCTGCAGCTGCAGCTGAATGCTTCCGAACTCTACCTTCCTCGACATAATCTCCCAACAACACATCCTTTTCTTATTGTTACAACTTCGAGATGCCGGCACGAAACAATCTCAACGTTTATAAGGGCCCTGACTCTGTCAAGGATTACTTCAATCCTGACAAGGCACCACCATTGCCGCTTGTGGAGCTTCCCGACGCCCTCAATCCATACCGACAAGATGGCATCCGTATCTACGCCAAGATGATGACTATGCACCCCGCAAACAATGTCAAAGCTATGCCAGGTAATTGCGTCGGAATGATATCATGGGAAGTCGAAACCGAATTGCTAATGTCTGATTCATCAACAGCCCTCAATCTTCTTGAGCATGGGGTTGCTCCCGACAAGACCAAGACCGTGGTTGAATACAGCTCTGGTTCAACTGTCATTTCCATGGCTTTGATGTCACGCGTGCTCTACGACTTAGGAGATGTGCACGCCTTCCTGAGCAATAAGACGACATCGGCAAAGTTGAAATTGATGCAATTCTTTGGTCTTAAACTGTAAGTGGGGCTGTTCTCGAGTTTGATTGAAAGGTTCCCGGGACATAACTTTGCTCACTATGGCCTTGTAACAGTACTTTATTTGGCGGTCCTTCCCAACCGGAACCGAACGACGAGCGTGGCGGAATTCGAGCAGCATACCGCTGGGCACAGGAATCCGAATCTGTTGTCAACCCCGACCAATACAACAACGATCTGGTGAGACATCTTGTCAAGCGTTATGGGCGTGTTGTTACAGCTACTGATCGAGCCAACAAGAACTGGAAATCTCATATGCGATGGACAGGCCCGCAGATTCTGGAACAATTGCCCGAAATTAGCCTGATTTGCGCAGGAATGGGAACCTCTGGTACGTCTTGTCTTCAAAGACTTTCAGCTTCTTTTGAAGACTGCGGCCCTAACACTGTTGTGCACAGGTACAATGTCAGGATTAGGCACCTTTTTCAAGGAGAATAGCCCGTCTGTTTTCCGTTTGGGGTAAGAAATTCAACGGATCAGCTTCGCAGTGATTTCTAACAGCATCCGCAGCGTGTGTACTGCTGCAGGTGACAGAGTTCCAGGGCCACGGTCCCTGGCTCTCCTGGCTCCTGTCAATTTCCCCTGGAAGTCAGCTGTCGACCATATTGAGGAGGTCGCATCCCACCCCTCATTCTCGCTTTCCCTGGAGCTGTGCCGCAGCGGCATTGTCTGCGGTCCCTCATCCGGATTCAACCTCCAAGGACTTTTCCAGCTCATCGAGAAAAGAAAGCAGAATGGGACATTGGATGAGCTTGCAGGGCAAGACGGTCAAATTCACTGCGTCTTTTTGTGTTGCGATCTCCCGTACCAATACATGGACGAATATTTCGACAAACTAGACTCCGAGCAGTTCCCTCCGATCAGAAACTCCGTAAGTCGTTGGTGTTCATTGTCACTGTGGTATGGTGGATCTCGCTAAATACGGGGCGCCTAGGAATTGAGTGGTGTTGACCTCTACCGATACGACTCGGCCTGGGAAAAGGACCCTCTGGTGGCCCTCAGCGACTTTTACCACTTGGACAAGATACTGACAAGAGATCTTCTTTTCTTCGTGTCGAAGAGACGGTCAGATGAGCGACAAGGCTGGGAGAAGATTGTAGCCCCGTCACCAGACACCATTGTGGTCGACTTGCGTCAGCCCGAGGACTTCGACCAGTTCAGTCTCCCGGGGTCTGTCAACTTCCCGCTCATCGAAGCGGGTACTCCAAGCCCCTTCTCAGATCCAAAGGTCTTGGCATCGCTTTGGCGAGAGCTTGAGGCCAAGCTTAGCTCCGAGAATGACGACATCTGCTCTCAGCTCCGCGACAAGCGTTCGCTCATCATTTGCTACGATGGAGACTCTGCTCGCGTTGCCACCAGTGTTCTGCGAGCCAAGGGATACGCTGCAGACAGTATGAACGGCGGGATTCGGGCTATGCGTGAGGTGGGCTTGCAGCTGGAGGATCCCTGCGGGCAGCCGCTCTTTCAAGGTTACCAGGGGCAGTCCGTGAGCTCTGTCACCCACTAGTCAGGGTGAGGTGAGAGAGCTATGCGAGCGAATAATGTTACATTAGGAGAATTTTAGTGAATATTCATGCATTAAAACTGGGTAGCTCTTTTGTCACTAGTGCTGTGCCTCTTCTGACTGAAGTAAATGTGTTTCTTTTGGTGTCCGACGATGGAGCCGTGCTCGGATGACATGACCAGATCGAAACCTGAGTTGACTCCTATTTCCATGTTAGCGTCTAAGGGAACACGGCGATCGAGACCGCCGATTCGCGTCGCAAAGCAAGGGCAAACCTGAGGGGAGTGGAAAATGTGTGTAAGGAGTGAAGTTGGTGGGCACCGGTCAAAAGGGTTCTCGAATAAGATTTGAACGCTAAGAGTTTCCAAGACATGCCAATAATGGATGCTTACGATTAAGCATACGGATGTGGGGATGCGCCGTTTTTGTGGAATATCCTGGGGGAGTGGTGGGGGTTGTGAGTTGCGTGTACAACGGCCAATGGCCTGAGTCTGTTGAATCTTATCACTGTGAGAGAAATGCATCTTATCAATCAATGAATCTGATTACACATTGTCCGCACGATCTACTTGGGATCATCAAGGCGCTCGTAGTGTTGTGGTGCGGCCAGTGCATGTGCAGGTTCAAGATACTTGCATGTACATCGCCTGTAAGTAACGTCGCAGTCGCCGCCCATCCGGGTAGCGTAGCACCCTGGTCCAACAGAGCCTTCCAGCTCGGCCGAAGAAATTTGCCTCGGTGGCCGAGCTTTCGTCTAAGATGACGAGGACGCAGCTTTACCACCTCAACACCCTGCAACAGGAGCTGATCCGGCGCCTTCCTAATTAGACAATCATATTATAGTTCATGGTTCATCTGATAGAAAATTTGCAAGGAGAGAACTCGTTCCAACAGATTCTTCTATCCACACACCATGGTGACAATTCAGTAGGACGGGCAGGCATGTTGACTACGGCTGGCTGATGTCCATAGAACATGGGATGTGTGATGAACTGCTCTGCCCATTCCAAAAGATTTGCCCCAATACCCACTGGGTACTCAGACCAGAAGCGCTTATATGAAGAACGTCATGTAGTCTAGCTCTCCGGGTACTCACGGTCCATTCATTCACTTTCACTCCATCGCTTATCCTGTTTGTTGATTCGCATCTTCGCCATGGCAGCCCAGGCCACTGAGAAGACAGACCCTACCCTTTCGACGGAGGTCTCTCCGGCGGAGGGTGACTTACACGTCCAGCCCAGGGCCGCCCCTATTGATGGCGAGGCCGCCGCCGAGATCCCCGGATATGACCACCAGCGCATGAAGGATCGCAGTCTCCTGTCTTATGAAGAGGAAAAGAAGTTGTTGCGCCGTGTCGATTGGCACCTCATGGTTCTATGCGCTCTCATTTTCATGGTCAAAAATGTCGATGCGAACAATGTGAGTCTTAGAAGCCAATGGGTTCGATTCGACAAGTGTTGTTGAAGGTAGAGGCTTATTCGGCTTAGGCTGCGCACGCGCGCATCATGAATCGTGGAACACCCCGGAACATCCTCACTGAACTGAAGATGACCGGCGACGACTACAACTTCGTCAGCACATTGTATTATGTACGTCACCTCAAAAGCTATTGGTTTCCATGATCCTGATCTAACACGTCTACTAGATACCGTTCATTATTTTCGAGATCCCGTCCAACCTGATCATGAAGAAAATGCTCCCATCGAGGTTCCAGGCGCGAATCATGGTAATTACTCCGACTCCTTTGAACAGTAATGAGCTAAGCCAATAGGTAACTTGGGGCATCACTCTGGCATGCCATGCCGCGGTCAAGTCAAAGGAGGGACTCTGGGTCGCTCGCTTCTTCCTTGGTCTCGTGAGTACTTAGCTTCTCTGAGCTATGCTTCTTTCAAAACTAACTCTTTGAAGTGCGAAGCTGGAATGTTCCCTGGTATCATTCTGCAATTGACATACTGGTACCGTGCTGATGAGATGACCATTCGTCTTTTGATTTTCTGTAAGTGACCACCTCTATCACTGATACTTCTCCGACACCAACTGATGTGGCTTGTCAACAGACTCTTTCGAATTCTTCGCAAATGTCGTCAGTGCTGTACTGGCGTTCGCATTTGATGGCATTTCCGGGCGATATGGCTTGTCTGGTTGGCAGTGGTTAGTCACCACCCCATCGCGGTCGCGACAATTGCATAACTAACCCAAATTTGTAGGTTCTTCTTGGTCGAGGGTGTAATCACCATTGCATTCGGAACATCGCTTTGGTGGATCTTCCCTGACTGTAAGTTAATCCGTTGTCATTTCCAACAGAGACAACAAGAACAAAGACTAACGAAGGATCTGTGGTTAGTTCCCGAGCAAGCTTCATGGCTTACCGATACCGAAAAGAGGTTCCTGCAAGCTCGACTTCCTGCAAACTCTCCCCGGTCAAGTGAGGCGCACTTCAACATTCGCGAGATTCTGGAAAGTTTGAAGGACCAAAGACTCTGGTGGTTCACACTGGTCTGGGCAACGAAGACTGTCGGAGGCTCGGGTCTTTCCTTCTACCTGCCTACCATCGTTGCTGACCTGGGACTTGCGTAAGTTGTCTCCCTTCATCCTACCCGAAGGCAGAGAAATCACAGAAACCTGACATCACCCACAGCTCGATTGCCGAAAGCCAACTTCTCACGATCCCCTCCGCTGTTTTACCCATCTTCTGCATCATCCTCAGCAGCTGGTTGACGGATAGGAAGGGTGTGCCATATCCTGTCGTAGCACTCTTTTACCTGGTGGCCACACTGGCGTGCTATGCTGTCATGTACACATATCCGAACAACGGAGGTGTTTACGCTGCGACGGTCATTGCTGCCTCTGCCTCGAATGCTTGGTTCTCGACCATGTGGCCTTGGCGTCTTCAGACTACCTCCAAGGCGACAGGATCCGCGTTTGCCATTGCGTTCTCCAACTCACTCGGTCAAATCGGAACGCTCATCGGACCCCAGCTCTTCCGATCCGCCTACGCACCTAAGTACTCAACTCCCTTTGGTGTCGCAATGGGAATGAGTGGACTTTGCATTGTGGCGACTGCCTGGACATGGTGGATTACCCGGGAGACAGAGAGGCAGACCAGGCATCTGAAGAAGATGAAAATCGCTGCTGGCAAGAGGAATGAAGTGGTCTATGACGATGTCAACATCGACGCCGACTTTAAGACCAAGTCGAAGGCATAGACATATCTTAGTGTCTGCTCATTACGTCTTTGATAGCCTAACGAAAAGACATCGATATGCAGCCTGTCTTCTAAGGGCCCCATCACATCCGGGTCATCAACTTCAGGCTGCATACTTATCTTAGAGTAATTTGAAAGCTTTCAGATTTGGATGCCTTTATGGCTCAACTCCATGGATGCTTTGCCAATCCATTCTTCGCATTCTGTTACTACCCGTAGTTATACGGACATTGTTCAGCCAGTGATTAGGTTTGCCGTTAAGTTGATAGTCAAGGGAAACATGAACCTTCGCCTTGAGGTTATATAGCGCCACCCGGATGCCGTCATGGATATTTGCAACCAACGTCATTGTTCATATCTGTCGAGTGATCAATCTTATCATGTGAGAGTTTGGATGCAACCAATTTTCACACATGAACTACTGCCTATAAACACCCAGCATTCTGCATTCCCCAAAGCCGACTCCTTGAATCCATCTCTGCCGCCTGGCAAAAATCAAAGTCCTATCTCTTAACTACCACGAATGTCAAACATCGACATACATATAGTATCCAACCGGTAACAGATGAAGCAGCTGGCGTCGGACTTTTGTATTCAAGTAGCATGAAGTCTTCACCTTCATCCCAGATCTTCCGTTTCAATCGATATCCCTGTTATGTGAACGTCTCAGTTTCCTGTGGGGTGCAGATAAACCTGGCTACGACCGCCTCTGATTCATAACCGGCTTCATCCACAACAAACTTATCCCCGCCATTCATATTGTTATTCAAATAAACGAATGGAGCAGGTTGCGAATGAAAGGTGGTGAAGTTTCCGTAGGGCTAAGATGCACAAGGTATCGCTGTTCTTCGCTTGAATGGTCTCCTCGCCCCCACTAGCTTTGAACCCTTGGGTCGGTTCGTTGAAATCACTGATGCACGTGGCCTGCGATGAAACAGGAAAGTGCCACCATGGGGTTGCCATCGTGGTATCGAACCTGCATGCGTACCCTACTCGGGGTATTTAACCGGTTTCGCGTGGTGCGGGAAGCGACGATGACGCCAACAGGCCGGATCTCCCAACACTATCCTGACCTGTCAAAATTGGGCTCTTATAGGTGGAATTGTGATGTTTGACACGCTCATGAAGCTGCATAAGGACCATGCCTACCGATCGATTGGAAGCGAGATCGTAATCTCCCGAGTAATTATCACCCTCCGGCTGGATGCTTGCTCGCCTGGTCTAGACCACGTCCCCCTTTCGTCATCGATGATGATGACCAAAATGGCTTCGCATTTTCATTTATGTGCGTATTTTACGTGTTGGCTGGGAGTTCACTATCCGAACAAGAAGTTCGCGAGGCTTTGAGGTGCATGTGACTGCTACGCTTTTTCAACATCTACCCGAAGATGCTCCCTTACGCCCGTGACGCCCTCCACGTAGATTTTCGTTGATTCCCATGTCACTGTTACTTGCTCTCGATGGATTTTGGGACAAGATGTCATTCTCCCTATTGGTGCCCATTGGAAACCAGCATGAACAAGACAAGACTTGCGTGCAGGTGTTGAGTGAGAGAGGTTCCACTTTAAACACAAAGCTTTGGACCCCGATATGGCGAGCTGCAGACAACGTTATGCCAATAGACAACCACCATTCAACACTGTCGGAAAATTGAGAAACTTTGATTTCGCCGCAGGATCGCGAACGAAGAACTTCTGAAATGAATTTTCGAGACGAGACACGCACTGCGAACCAGAAGCGATTACATTCTTCCGGGTCCTCGCGCTTGATTCCAGAATCAAGCGACTGAAAAAAAAGGTGTACCGAGGTACGCGCCGATCAACATCCTGTTTTTCCTTTTTCTTGAATGAAAAACTCCACATCTCACTCCTGGACAGCCGAGGTATTCGTGATTGCAGGGGTTATGGTTATCGTTGTTGGTGTCATCAACACGATGGTTGGCTACGAGCAGGGGCTCAGAATCTGGATTCCTGACATCTTTTCCGAGACGCCACTAGTAGACCCGCTACACTAGCTTCATCGCTCTTCGGTCACTGCGTGTCGTCATTGTACAAGCAAAATCGGAGTTGCCTCTATGCCTCTGCCCTTGGCAACAACCGCGTCTTCAACATGACCCATTTGGCTTGCGTCTGTGTATCAGCTGCTGATCAACACCGCTCCCTCAGCCATCAGCGGTCTAGTTCTTCAAACCCCGCATTGGCCGTTCGCGCCGATTCGCGCCTGGCCTCACGCTCATCTATCTAAGTCTGGCAACGGCGGGTAGTGTGAGATTCTCATTCGGCCGGTAATCGGATTAGTGGCTAAAGCCACATGGCTTGCTCCCGGCCTTCCGGCTGAGAGGAAAAGGTGAATAGGCTGATCAATTGGGGGTGAGACCGAAGTTCAAGAGGCGCACTCGGGCCATCAGAAGGCACAATGCCATAACCGCATGTCTTGAGCAATACTTCTCTTATGCGAATCTGAACCTAAAATTCCAACTGTCAAGCCTGCAGAAACGGTCCTATCGGCCCTATCTTCAGCAGCTCAGTCACATGTCCTTGGCCACGTGTTGAGCCCGAAACCTGTCTGCGATTGCTAGTTTCTCCTGATTTGGGTGCGATGCTCCGAGCCGATTTCTCAAACTACGGGATGAAGTTCCACACCGCGTTCCCGGCCCACGGCGATGCAGAGAATTCGCTCTCTCACACGCACAACAAGAGGAGGCCGAACCCCAAACCCCAACGCCAAGGAACCCGGCGGAGCCGCAAAGGCTCCAGTCCTCCTCAATTTCCCCTCTGTTCCCCAACCTCCATTCCCCGCCTCCGCACGCTAGAAATCTCCCACCTATCATAACGCTTCAGCAACCCCAGACAACAACAGGGATCTGACTCTTACTCCACCTGACATCCGGACCATTCCTAAACACACATTATGCGCACCAATAGAAGACGCCATGTTGATGCTCTGACAATGGACTTGACCCGCAGCTGCGCCAATGGCAGTATAAGACTCTTACCCCAATTCTCCCCCAATTCTCAGTATTTCTTGGCTACGCCGCTCTTCTTGGCCTCTTCTTGTTTCCTCTTGGCTTGTGAATCACTCTTGGCGTTCCCTTGGCTACTATTTTGCCCAGCACAACCGCTCGAGACTCCAAGATGTCAACGGGTGTCACTGACGACGGGCACAACGCCCCCCGCGTCAACAGCAGCAGCGAAGATGCTCGCATCGACGAGAAGCACGACGCCGGCCATGGCGCGCACCACGTCGACGTTGCCAACTCCAAAGTCCTGGCTGACAACGACCTCATGAACGATGCCTTTGATGGCGAAAACCAGGAGCACCAGCAGGGTCTTTGGGAGGCCGTCAAGACCCACCCGAAAGCTTGCTTCTGGGCCTTTATCATGTGCTTCACCATCGTAAGTCCTCTGACATGACTCGCTACGCGACACTCGCCCTGGGCAATTACTGACGGATCTCGTACAGGTCATGGAGTCCTTCGACATGTTCTTGAACGGCAACTTCGTCGCGCAGGCGGCTTTCCAGAAGAGATACGGTGTGCAGGTTGCTGATGGCTATGCTATTGAGACCAAGTGGCAGAGTGCTCTCTTCCAGGCTGGTCAATGTGGTGCATTTGTCGGTGTTTTCTTGGCTGGCCCTGTCGTCAACAAGTTCGGCTACCGATGGACCACCATCTTTGCACTGATCCTCATGAACGTCACCATCTTCATCTCTTTCTTCGTAAGTCGCGCCACAACGATGTTTCTTCCGTTCTGTTGACTAACAACATGCTATCCAGGCCCAATCACTCGAGGTTCTCACCGTTGGACAGGCATTGGAGGGTATCCCTTGGGGATTCTTCATTGCCATTGGTCCCGCCTACGCATCCGAGATCGTTCCTCTCGCCCTTCGAGGTGCCTGCACTGCTACTCTGCAGATGTCCTGGTCCATTGGCTCTATCGTCGTTGCTGGCGCTACTCTTGGCTACAACAAGCGTGATGATGAATGGGCTTGGCGTGCGCCTCTCGCCCTGCAGTGGATCTTCCCTGTAAGCCGCCCAGCCCGTCCGCCGTTGATCTACCGAAGCTGACATTACTTTCATGCAGACTCCCCTCATGGTCATCCTCTTCTTCGCTCCTGAATCACCATGGTGGCTCATCCGCCGCGGCCGCAAGGACGAGGCACTTCGCTCCATCAAGCGCCTTGGTCCTTCTAATGCTACTATTCAGCAGAACCAGCAGAAATATGCTATGATCGAGCGTACCGTCGAGATTGAGTCTCAATTGGGCGGCTCTCCCACCCTTCTCGACTTGTTCAAGGGCGTCGACCTCAGACGTACCACCATCACTTGCTTGATGTACGCCTCGCAGAACTTCGCCGGTAACCTGATTGCCAACCAAGCTACTTTCTTCTTTGAGCAAGCTGGCATGGGCCACGACCGCGCCTTCGACCTGAACCTTATCAACTCTTGCCTGCAGTTCATCGCCAACGTTCTCTCGTGGCCCCTCACTGCCTGGTTCGGTCGTCGCACCATCTACCTCTGGGGTACCGCCACCAACGTTACCCTCCTCATCGTCCTGGGCATTTGCGCTTCCATCGAGCAAACCAGCGCTACCAACTACGCCCAGGCCGTCTTGGGCATCTTGATCTCCTTCGTCTTCGCCGGTACTCTTGGCCCCATCTCCTACACCATCATTGCCGAGACCTCCGCCGTCCGTCTCCGTGCGCTGTCTACTGCCGTCGGCCGCGCTGCCTACTACGTTGCCGAGATCCCCATGATTTACCTGGCTTCCCAGCTCCTGAACCCTACCGGATGGAACGTCGCTGGAAAGTGCGGCTACGTCTGGGGAGGAACTGCCATCGTCTGCTGGGTCCTGGCCTACTTCGGCCTTCCTGAGCTCAAGCACCGCTCTTACCGCGAGACTGATATCTTGTTCAACCGCAAGATCTCTGCCAGGAAGTTCAAGTCTACCGTTATCAATGTTACTGATAACGAGTAATACACCAAGGTTTTCGATTCGCCCAAGAGAGGCATCATATAGACCCTGTATAATCAGCATCTAGACACTAGACAAATACCCCTTACAGAAATAATCTAGACCTCGTCCTCCTTGGCCAGTCGATACATCAATGTCCCGTGACCCAAGCTGTCGTAACCGCCTGAGTTTGGGCTGTAGTCGCCGCCACCGCCTTCAATCTGAGCGCTGATGTTGCCGTTGACAAATTCTCGATACTCCAATGACCAAGATGCATTCATACCCTTCAGCTCTGCATAGTGTGAATACAGAGCTTCATATCCTGGCCGGATGTCGAAACGAGCCTTTTCTGCGACAACCTCCAAGACCCCTTCCCAGCTTGTGTAGGTAGTATACGGCACGGAGTGATTTGTGTTGTACTTGGCCACATATTCAGCCCTTTTTGATGAGAAGATCAGCCAAACCCGTCTCTTTGTGTTTAATAAGTTGGAGATCACTTACGCGTTCAAAATCTGGTGGTCGTAAGTCGAGTACAGGTCAACTCCTTGATTCCAACCCTGCTGGCCAATGACGCCAAGCAGTGAGATACACAAGAGGGCATGGGCTTGGTCACGACCTGACTCTTGCATCTGCATCAAGGTCTTTCCAGAGGCCTCCTCGGCAAAGTTGGCGATTGAGAAGTAAGGAAGTGCACCATTCGCGACGACCTCGGGTTGCCCGGGTAGACCGTTCTTGAAGTAGTTCACGGCATAATCGTACATCGTCCGATTTTCAGTGAAAATGCCAATCGACATCAGAGACGCGATGTTGCAAAGATCCCAGTTGGCATAGTAGAAGTTTGGTTTGTTGTAGTGGTGCTTGAGAAAGTCGTGGTTGTACTTCGCAAAGATGTTGCTGAGCATATCGCCAAAGGCATCCTGGCTGATCTTAGGCCAGCCCGAGTATGTGCGCAGTAGTTCTGCAGCATTCGCGAACTGGTACCCGTACAAGCCCGCGGCAAGATACTTGTCCTCGGTACCGTTGATGTCGGTCAGGGTTGAACTCCAACCATCTAAAATCTTTCTGGCGTGGTCGGCATAAGAGACATTTCCCCCGATGTGCCAGCGGAGAGCTAGCTGATATGCTGAATGAGCGTCGCGATATGCGTATCCGTAGTTGACCTTTGGCTCGGTGAACGTCGCGTTTGATCCTCGAACGAGAACAGGCTGAGGAGTTGGTACCCAAGTCGTTTGCGCGAGTTTCGATGATTCGAGATGTTGCCAAGCCCGGTACCACGGCTGATCCTGAGCTTGGACATGCTTCTTGATCCGGTGGAAATCCTCGGCGCTGTGCAGAGCTCCGGGATGGGCGAACCCGACAGGTGCTGGGTTTGTTCCAGCAACTGGAGAGGCCCAACAGGCGAAGGCCTGACTAACAACCGTAATAACAAGAAGTTTATCAACTCTCATGACTAAATTTGATGGAAATGCAGCTTGATCTCTGCGGAACGAATCAAGAGAGACTTCACCTCTGGGCTCTAGCATGAAACCCAGTAGCGGACTGGAGTCATTTAATGCCTTTCTTCATCGTTGTATTCGTTTCGAGCCTGCATGAGGCCTGGCAAGATGTGCATTCATCTGCCATCTACCCCATGTTTCCCCGCTAATACCCCGGGACCGACAACGCGGTTCGGCCCGCAGGGTCGCAATCCCCGAGAGCTGGCCCGGAAGAGGCCGAGCATTCCCCCGATCGTCCGGCGACCCCGCTCATTTCCCCAAGAACAATGAACAGTTCCGCTCGATGTTTCCCTCCGAAACCAGGGATACCTTTCAACATGTAAGAGCTAGGTCTACTCTCACATAGTTTTAAGTCCCCTTCTTGCAACTGCAGACTTCGCGTGTTGATCCATGGCTGAAGGCCTGAGCTGGTCTCACTATCAGTATGAATCATCAATGATCCATTCCAATGAGGCGCCACAGAAATGAATCATAATGTCTCATGGTCTGGCCAGCCTACACTGTGGCACAATGTCAGCGCACGTGATGCTCGCTGTACCTCTATTTGCTCCTTTTGAGGCATAATTTGCTGCGGAGAAGCCCTCCTTGACAAATAGACAGCGAAGTATTTATGGTTGACACGGTTGTCGTACCGTGAACACATCTCCAAACACTTTTTCTTGTTGAAGCTTTTTCTTGGTCAGATATCGCATTTTCAAAATGGCGTGGGAACTGCTTGGAGGCGGATGGGACCCATCTGGGTGGGCTAGCCAATGGCTTCCCCAGGTGTCTCTGGGTTCCAATGCTAAATGCAGCCCGTCCGGAATATCGCTCCCTGATCTCACCGGAATCAAGGTATTGTCGATCGAAGCCTACGAAGAGCGCAATTACACATACGTTCCGGGGATATTCGGAGCAGGCCTGCCGGGCTCTAAGCCCATCCCAGATCTGAATTTCTGTAACGTCACCGTCACATACACGCACCCCGGCTGGCACGATACCATCAATGTGAACACCTTACTTCCTACCAATGATTGGAACGGCAGATTCACGGGAGTCGGTGGAGGCAATCTTGCCACCGGGGGCGGGGAGGTAGCAGGGTTTTTGATGATGCCAATCATGGCGTCAGGCCATGCAACCGCTACCACCGACGGCGGACACTCGTCCGACGTTCTTGGCCCCGAAGCCAACGATCCTTCATGGGCCCTGACTAGCCCTGGAAATGTCAACTGGCCTCTTCTCATGGACTTCGCCTCGGTCGCACTGCACGATACGGCAACCATTGGCAAAGCCGTCACCAAAGCGTTCTACAGCACGTCACCAAAACATTCATACTTCTTTGGCGGCTCTACAGGTGGTAGACAAGGTCATATGCTCGCACAAAGGTACCCCCAGGAGTACGATGGAATTATTGCTCTGTTCCCAGCCACGAACTGGGTAAAGTTCTTCTGGGCTAGCTACTGGCCGAAGTTTGTCATGGATAAAATGGGTGCGTACCCCAAACCATGCGAGTTTGAGGCTATCACAGCTGCAGTCATGTCTGCTTGTGATAAGCTAGACGGGGTGGAAGACGGTATCATTTCTCGACTTGATCTCTGCAACTTCGATCCTCACAAAGTCGTGGGCAAAATCATTGACTGCGACGGTACTGAGGTCGCTGTCTCCTCGGCGGCAGCGGATATCACCCAGGCAACATGGGATGGGCCTCGAAGCTCTATGGGCGAGTTTCAGTGGTACGGATACGGAAAGGGGACCGACTTGACCCAAGCAATCACCGGGCCTATCCAAGTCAAATGCAACGAGGACTCCTGTAAGGCTGAGGGCAATCCTGTCTGGGTACGGTACTGGGTCAAGAAAGAACCGTCCTTTGACATCAGCAAAATAGCACACCAAGAATGGGACGACCTTGTACACCTCTCCATAAACGAATTCGACTCCATCATCGGAACCTCAGACCCTGATCTATCAGCATTCAAACGAAGGGGCGGCAAAATGATCAACTGGCACGGAACTGTGGACGCTGCGATACCATTCAATGGCAGTACCGACTATTATGATCGTGTGTTGGCCAAGGACCCAGAGGCTCACGATTATTATCGGCTCTTTGTGGCTCCAGGTGCTGGACACTGCTTCAACTGCGGACCAAGCCCGCCTTTCTCCATGGATCCAATCATTCACTGGGTAGAAGATGGTGTGGCCCCAGACACGCTGCGAGCCTCTGGAGCAAATGGCCTCGGCGTTCACGTGGAGAGAGATATCTGCATGTACCCCGGTATCCAACATTATTTAGGGGGCGATCCAAATGTCGCATCATCGTTTAGATGTGTGTAGGTCATTACTTCATGTATTGGGAACAGCTGGCTCGGAAGATCTACTCTAGATATTGAGACTAGCCAATGGATGAGAAAACATACTTTGTGGCAAACTGTAATGTGTGATGCTCGAAGTCCATTCTAAGACGTCAAATCCTCAAACGATAAGCCTTTGACATGCTCATTGGCAAAAACAGGAACCAAGTCGGCGACCATGTACCACCTGGGCTTCTCCATACCCTCATGGATTTCTCGACCCTCGATTCTGAGGCCCTGAAATTTGACGTTCTCTATCTGTCGCTGCTGATCGTAACCCAGGATCTGTGAAGGGTTGACAATTTTGGAGTGTCCCATGTCGAGTGACACGTTCTTGAAGACCACATCACGAATTCCCCTACCTGGCGCCGTCGTCCACATCGCGTTTTGCATGACACGGAGATTGAACAATTGACCCTTCGTGATTCGCTCAACCCTGACATTCTCTATGTGGATATCATGAAAGAGGTTCTCATCAGCAGCGTTGATGGCGATGCACCCTTGATACCACAGCTGATTCTCCTCGTGATCCAAGATATCGATATTGCTTATGCAAATGTTGCTTGTCGTCTCTGGTTTGGCAGGATTCCCGTGCGTGCCCATATTGATGGCGTGCGCAATCTCTGGCAGTAGCACACATTTTCGGATCGTAATGTTTTTCGAGTCGCCGTACCAGTCCCATCGATGGGAATAGAGAGCAATGGTATCATCTGAGTTTCGCAGGAAGCAGTTTTCAATGATGATGTTTGATGAGCAGAAGAAGTCGATTCCATCGCCGTTTCCAGCAAAAGAAAATGACCGGTAGCCGTCAACGCGAACACCGTCACATTCTCCGGCCGACAGACTGAAGCCGTTGGCCCCGATTGATGTGACCTTTTCCACCAGGATGTTGTTTGCGTTGCTCATGTGAATCGCCCCGCCAAGCTCCCTATGGACGTATCCGTCTTTCGGGCCGAGAATGAAGCCATGGCCTTTGACAGCACTGTTGGAAACGCCGACGAAGTTGAGTCTGCAGGTGATGAATGCACCGCCAGCGAGATAGACGGTCTTGCCTGACGGCACCATCAAGTTGACTCCGTCAGTGATATTTGAGTAAGCGGTCCCTTGATTGATCCCGGGCCCGAAGTACCAAATATCATCGGTATCTTGCGTCGGCGCGTTTGCGTCAATCTCGTTGGTAAGCAAGTGCAAAGCCTTCCACTTGTTATTGTTGATCTCAAGCATAACATCGCGAGACTCGTTGAGTGTGAACGTGATCTCTCCCTCATGAACTTGAGTATCGATGCCGAGAGAAACCGGGCGAATGATTGCCTCTTTAACGGGGCAAGCCGTGTATGTTACTTTGATATCGACAGGACCGCTGATATCAAATGAGGCTAAGGCCACTGTATGTCTCTTGAAGTCGTTTCGTGTAATGTTGGCGTTGGCGACCTCAATGGCGTATGCTGGCACGCGAGTCCATTGCTGCTTCTCAGTGCTGCCAGGCGATGTGGGACGGACTTCCACCACGAACTCGTCGCGAATGGATACGCCTGACGGGCTGCCATAGACCCTGAAAGCTGAGCGCGAAGCCATCCCCAATTGTTGAGGTGTTGTGAGGAAAGCCGAAAGGGTAAGAAAAACTAAGCATTCGAGTTCTTGTGTTCCTAATAAGCGTCGCGTGTCAGAGCAAAGGTTTTCGGTTCTGAAGTCAACAGAAACTCATATGGACGATCGAGATGTGTAGTCTCATTGCAACTGACGGAGTAAAATGCGGAGCGCCCCGCTCTAGGCCAAGGAGCCATTACGGGATTATCACCGAAGCTGATGTGTGCCGAGGCCAGGCACAGCGTGGGCTGACGGGATCGGGACAATTACCGGAGCATTCCCGAGCGCATCGTCAACATTTGACAAACCAGACAGGCTTTTCATATCGGGACTAACGTAGGAGTCAAGAAAAATGATTTGATCTGCAAGCAGAAGTCATCGCCGGATATTCTCAAATACCAATTCTGCTTGTGGAACCCGCAACCTGGGAAACACCAGACAAAAGAAACTTACTTAAAGGCGACACCAAGTTCCATCCTGAAAGTCTTCTTTGTAACCTGCCGGACTGCAATCGGGATCAACCTTAGGCCATGTCTTCCTCCTTGCCAACGATCTCATTTCTTCCGGCGAATTCTACAACACATTAGCTTCGTCGTCAACTTCTCCGGAAGGCGTTTCACTGACGGTCAACAGTGGTATACTTGAACTTTCTTGCGGGAATCTTGTTTTCGAAGAGAATATCAAGTTCACCAAACGTTCGGTCTTTTGTTTCCGGGAGACGGAAATAACACCACGTGTTGCAAACGAGATTAGTTCCAGCGTAAAACAAACCAGCCTTCGCTCCCCAGTTCCATCCTGATATCGATTAGCTGAAGACTCTGGGGCTTTTTTGACGACTGTTTGACTTACCAATCGGCGAGATCATTCGAGGGGTGAGGGTGTGTTCCACAATGCCTGTAACATTGTAGACGAAGCGACCGATCACGATGGTTTTGTAACGGAGTCTCCCGGACGGGGTTTCCGCAACGATAGGGTAGCAGACAGGTCCGACCGTGACCATATTGACCAGAGTTGAGACAACCAGAATGACGCCAATCGCAATCTGACCTTTGGCATCATTCGTGAATCCGAGTCCTCCGATTACAATGTTGCAGAAAAATAGGAATGTCAAACCACTCATGTAGAGCGTTGCACGTCCAACATGAGGAAACAGAAACCAGCAGATAATGCCACCGATAACGTAGCATGCAGACAATGAGATGTTCAAGTTGAGAGACTGTATCTCCGAAAAGCCTGCGGCTTGGAGGAAGGTCACTCCATAAGCTACTAGAGCATTGCCCCCTAGGATTTGGGCAGCCCAGACGACGCAGTTCTCCAGGAGAATCTATGTCAGAATTATAACACCGATATCAGGGTATTTAGTATAAACTCACAATCTCAGTCCGCCACAGATTGGTTCCTTTGAAACACTCAATGAACGAGGCGCCGTGAGTCTCGGCCTCCTCGAGTGCTGTCGTGTGTCTGATGTATGCCAGCGAAGCATCGACTTCAGCTTCGCGTTCCGTGGTGTCTTCTCGAAGACGAACAAGACTTTCCCGAGCTGTGTCGAATTTGCCACGCCTCACAGCGTTCCACGGAGACTCGGGTGCAAAGTAAGCTCCAATGAAAAGAGGGACGGGCCATACCCACTGAAGAAGGAATGGGAGCCGCCAGCCCATATCGCCGTCGATGCTAGCGACTGCTCGGACAACTCCAGCTGATAGTAAGATACCGGCGCCCCAACACATGCAGACGTAGGCTGTGACATACGGCCGAAGTACGGTTGGGACGACCTCACAAGCGTATGTTGTACTTAGTGTCTGGAGCCCGAAGATTAGTAATGAGTATCAGTGGTAAGAAAACACGATTCAAATACCTGAAAAACACCCCACGAGACACCGCACATGGCTTCGCCCCAGGCCAGCACGGGTAAGGATGGCGCGAAGCAAGGAATTGATATCATCACTGCCATCCATGCCATGAAAAACATCATTGTGTGTCTCGCCCCGAATCTGTCTTGACACCAGGCATTCACAACCAGGCCTGCGAGCTGCCCAACCAGTGCCGAGTTCGAAAGTCCGGATTGCCACTCAGGAGGGATGAGCTTCTCGCCGCTTCCCTCATCATACACACCAAAGCGATTCTTGAATTGTGTCTGTCCATAGAAGGAAGTGATCTATTTGTCATATGTCAGCCGAGTGCGAAACAACTAGTGCAAAGACCTTGGGGGGTCCCACAATGACAAGGTCGTATCCTTCCATAATAAGACTGGTAGACAAGAACAAGGCCCAGAAAACTGCCTTCTTGTACTTGACTAGAGCCTGACGGACGGTGAGCTTGCGATCGGCGGCATCTCCCTCTTGGGCACGATTAATAAGCTCGACAGTGTGGGCATCATTGAGATCGAATTGCTCAAGTTCCCTCGCTGTCGGGACAACCTTTTCAACGGCCATGTTCAGTTGCGACGGTTTGCAAGTCAGATTACTTGAAGAAGGAAATTTGCAAGCGAGAAGATAAAGAGTCAGATGGGGATTCGTGGCCACGAATTGACTCTTATTTCAAAGTTCGACACACCAACTGATCATCTACCAACGGCTAAAACCACCTGCATACAAGCTCTTTCATTCACTGTTATACGCTCCCCCATACCGGTAGATCCGGGGTAGCGGATCATCCCTGGTCGTCATTCGCGGGGAAGAATGAAACGGGATACGAGGAGCGCCCTGTCCTTGAGAACTACACGTGGTCGGAACACCATGCCATGTAAGGCAGCCCATTCCAAGCGGCCCAATAGGATAGATCCCCGCGATCAACTTCATCAGGCAAGAGACTCCCAGTTTGATCAGCACATGACATCAGCTTGGCTCGAGCAAATAATGGTCGAAAGGCGCCGCTGCCTGCGAAAGAGGCAATCACCCACCTCGAGTCAGGCCGGAGATCGAACCAAGATTAACAGCGGGACGGATGTGAGATACGGTGCCTTCTTAGGAACAACTTACGTCCAACGTGTTTTCTGAATAACAAGTGGCATTGATGCTATTCACCTGGGACCATCATCCGACACGGCGACCCAACCAACCCCGCACCGGGTGCCATGCCCGAGGCCGCATCGGCCGGACGCCCCGCCCGCCCGGTCATCATGGATTGAAAGTAGCCAGCCAGCTGTGTTACCGAGAAGCCAGGCTCGATGCTTCCCCGGTTTAGGAAGCCCTGATTGCCCACACCGGCCAATCAGCATTTTTGCAATGGCTAGAGCATCGTAAAGTTAAACGCGAACGTTGCATTCCGACAAAGCTGTACTGGTTAATATTCATTCTGGACGTAGTGTTTAGTGCTGAAAATCACAAAGCGAGAGATATGCGAGAGAGAGACGAAAAGGTCTTTTCAACGTGGCCTACTTCATCTTCGTCCAAATCAACATGTAAATTCCGCCGAGAATCGGCCTCCATTGAAGCTGGCCTCATTTATCTCAATCACCGGTCTCGTGTATTCTGTCTTAAATCGCCACAATTTCATTAGTGTGCTTTGCCCGTTCTACGCATCTTGGAAAAAGCCGAGTTAGCATCCTCCAACAAGACACGAGGATCGTCGAATTCAATGATGTTCCCCTCGTCCATGACAGCAACCCGATCGAAGCCAACAATTGTTTCGAGTCTGTGCGCAATAGCAATGATGGTGCATCCCCTGAATTCTTCCTGCAAGACGCCCCATATGAGCTGCTCCGTCTCTAGGTCCAAGCTGTTGTTGGCGAATCGAGTTAGCCTTGAAACCAGGAACCGCAGGCTACAAGAAAGCTAATTGTAGTCTCTATTCTCAATACTCACCTGCTGGTGACTTCGTCCAGAACGACGATCCTGCAACGCCTCAGGATGGCTCTTGCGAGAGATAGCAGCTGCTTTTGCCCCTGACTGAGTGACTCAGGCTTCAAACTACCTCCGAGGCCTCCATGGTCTTGCACGTGTTCGATTAGCTTTATCTTGCGGAGGGCTTCTTCAATTGCATGATCTGGCGATGCTCCATAAGGATCAAGAACCTCGCGGAATGTTCCACCGGTGACGAAGGGATCTTGCGGAATGGCGTTGATGCTTGATCGAAGGTTCGATAAGGAATAATCCTTGATGTCGTTTGTATCGATGACAATCTTCCCTCGTCGAACATCCAGCAATCGGAAGAGAGATGCAACCAATGATGACTTTCCGCTGTAGATTTGTTAACTCGAGGCCTGGCCTTTTCGACAGGTACTTGCACGGTATCACTCACCTTCCACTCCGGCCGCATATGCCGACTTTCTGCCCTGCCTCGATTACCAAGTTGACATTTTTGAGTGCGAGGTTCTCATTACTCAGGCTGGCAGACTCGGTCAGCATTCAGAATCAAGGTTAGCATGAGGCTTCTACTTACCCATACGACACTGTCAGGTTCTTGTACTCAATCCTGCCTGAATCTGGTTCGCGAATGATGACTCCATCCGAGTTTGAGTCATTCTCTCTTGGTGTCGTCTGCTCAAACTCCTTGATTCGTGCAACTGCAGTAATTGATGTCTCCATAAGCGTCCACCCAATCACAACCGATCGCAACATCTGACTAAGAGACATCAGATTGACCAGAGCAACTGCAGTAAGCCCAAGGCTTGATCGAAGCTTCAGACTAAGGGTCACGAGAAGCGTGACTATGACCACGACCACCATGTTCAAAACCAATGAAAGCCATTGCTGAATCATCTGAAGCAGGTAATTGGGACGCTGGGATGCATCGAGAAGCTGCTGGTTGCGTTCGACGTAATGCTGAGACCATCCAAAAGCTCGGACTGTGGTGATGCCTCGTAAGGTATCTAAGAAATGTGTACTACGGGGAAGTGGTGTCAGAGATTTCGTCGTGCCATGTCCAGACACAAAATAAGCCTCACTTACTACAGAGGGCTTTTGAGTTCAAGATCGAGGGGCCGAAGTTGCTGTGATGTTCGAAGATAGAACCGTTGAATACCGTAAAAGACCAACACCAGGAGCGGGTATGAAATCGCCAGCCACGGACTTGCGGTGGCGACCAAAGCGACTTGGGCTAAGGCGATGAATGTTGTTGCTACCGTGTTGAGCAGAGCAGCCGGCAGTTCGCCATCGACCGACTGAAGATCCTGAGAGAATCGATTGATGATGGTCCCTGAGTCTTTGGTGCTGAGGTAAGAAAATGATGCTGACATGACCGTTGACAGAAGGCTGTTGTGCAGCTTCTTTCCCGACCTAGACACTACCGTCGTCAGGCAATGGCGAGTGAAGAGAAACCAACAGATAAGACCAGTGGCCTGAAGTAAGGCATAGATGCCAAGATAGAAACTGTCTCTGGCTGTAGGATCCGTAGTCCACCAGTTCAACCAAACAGAGGGAAACGTGTATAGTGTTCCGAATACTCCACCGAGGAATATTAGTAACGCCGTGTTCGGGCTTCCCACAGCTCGGGCGAAGTAGCCGTAAGTTGCCCAATCACTGGGTCTCTTAGACGCTTGTTTCTGTGGGGCTGGAGTTGCAGTGCTCTGATCACGTTCGGTGTATGTAGTGGCAGGAGAATCTGCAGTATCTGAAATATTGTCTTCTTTTCGTTCATCCATCGGGTGATACTTGGGCTGTTCTCTGCGGCCGGGGTGGCTGGAAACAGGAGGCTCGCCAGGTGCAAGGTCCACCACCAAGTCTGCAGCAAGACACATATCCTGATCAGAGCAAGCCAAGATCGCAGTCATCTCTAAGTGGCGCAACAGCCCGCCAGGGCTCAAAAGTCGCTCATAGATGTAGGCCTTGGTCACGTTGTCCATCCCGCTGAAGACGTCGTCCAGAATGATAAGGGGCGTTCTTGCGTAAACCGCTCGAGCGATTGCAACGCGCTGTTTCTGTCCTGTGCTCAGTGCATCTCCGTTGTTCCCAACGTAGGTGCGGTCTCCACTCGAAAGCCTTTCAAAGTCAGTCTCCAGGTCCACTGCCCTAACAACCGTCTTGTACCAAGCGTTGTCAACGACACTTCCCCCAATGATATTTTCGTAGATGGTCGTGTTGGTCAGGTATGGCGTTTGGTCACAGAATCCAATGCCCGCCCCAGAAGATATCTCGACGATACCTTTAACGTAAGGCACTTCACCAAGAAATGCCTTGCAAAGTGTCGATTTACCACTGGCAACTGGCCCGGTAATTACTGTCAGCTGAGACTTGGGTATGCTGATGTTGACGTTGTGAAGATCCCATTGATTTTCGCTCCAGCCAAAAGCGCCGTCATAGATGGATAGAACGTCTCCCGTTGTAGTGTTTCTTCCAACGATGTCCACTACAGCTGTAGACTTTTCTGCTCCCGAAGCATTATCTCGACGACCACCGCGCTCCCTCGTGACATCTGACTTTCCCTCTCTTCGGTCACGATGTGAAGGAGAGTGGATAAAGTCAATGATACGTTGAAGACAGTTGGCAGCCCCGGCAAACATCGGAACGTATTGGAAGAGACTTGAAAGTGGCTGAGTCAAAATGACTACCAACGACAGAGATGTAAAGGCTTTGGCAACGTCGAACGTGTTGTCTCCACTACCATTCGGAGAAGCTGATAGATAGATGGCGAAGCACACAACTGGAACGATGAAGATGGGCGCAAAAGCTACCAAATGAATTAGTAATAGGGCGGAGGTTCACGCTAGATAATTGTGAGCCTACTAACCGATGCAAAAAGATAAGACCATGATCATCCTAAACCCGTTGGCAAATTGTAGCTCTTTAACACGAAGTGCGTCCAATACTTTTTCAGACTGTTCGCCTAACCCTATCATCTTGATGCTCTTGATCTGCGAAAGTACAGAGACTGTGCGGTCTGCATTCGTCTTAGACATCATTCACAATTCATCACCCACAGAATATTACGAGAGCTTACTGATTCGCGCCTGGAGAGCTTCCATCCACCGATTCTGACGAGGCATTGTGAACTTGTTGACGCACAGAGTGACCAGAAAGCATGCTGTGAGAAGTTAGTAAGGTTGCTGTCAAAGTTCTCAAGACTTCAGGTTGCTTACCAATGGCAATCGCAACTGGCGCAATTGAGCCCGTCTGAAGTTCTCGCTGCAAGAGCCAGACAGCTATGCCAACTTCAACTACATTTGCCCAGGCTTCATGAAATACTCGGAGTCCCTGAGTGACCCTTTCCACATCAGTGCTCATCAATGTGACTGCAGCATTCTCATGCTGCGCAGTGGCGACTGTAGTGAGCTTCTGGTAGACAGCACCGACAAGGAGACCACGAATCTTTGCCAGGTTTCTGAGGTGAAGTTGCCAGTAGATGCTTCCAGCAACGGCGATGCCCGTATAGACCACAACAGCGCCCAGGATCATGAAGTTGTCAGTTCCATGTGATCCATCTTCCGTTCTTGCATTTTGCAAATACATCAAAATAGCCTTGATCAGTAATGGCTGACTGAGTGTAAAGCCAATGAGGCACAGCCGTGGCGCCATAGGATAGATCGCCGACCACCCTAGCGATTCCCAAATGGCTCTGCACATACCCCAAAGGCTGGAGTTATGAAGCCCTTTGATTTGAAGATCTTTTGAACAGAGGTCTGTGGTCAAGGGATACAGGCCATCGATGGAAAGGTCATGGCGATATCCTAACCAAAGAAGCGGATTGAGCCAGTAACAGAATCCTCGGTTCCACAATCCGCTCCATTCCTCAGGGCTACAAGAAGAACTGCTCCCATCTTGGCTGAACTTTTGTTTCTCAAAGGATTCCAACGATAAGATGGAAAACTTTATGACCAGGCATGCCATTGCAGTCCCTAGCAGTAACGGCGCATAACCTGCCAGCCATAAGGTGCGGAGCTGCAAGATGTCAAAAAACAATGAGGAAGTGAAGTACAAAATAAGTATCGCAGATGGTTGCCGAGATCGAGTATGTTCGAACCATGAGAGTGGACACAAGAGGAATGCATCAAAGACGGCCAGCGCTGCAGCAGCAACTGTGAGGGGTGTTTTGTGCAGGCGGATCCACAGAGTCAAAGAGGCTAGTTGAAGACATCCGTAAATCGCGATCGTGCTCTACAATTTTACTTTTGATTGGTAAGTAGTTACTGGAAGTGCCTGACACATGCTTACCAGTTTGAGATATTTCAAGTGGCTCCCCTCAATGATCCGTGGCTTCGCATGCAACATCTGAAGACGAATAAGCGCCAAAAGGAGCACCACCGACGACGGGATAATCGCCATTACGCTCCTTTCGAATTGAAGCGTGAAGTCAAAACTACCATGCTTGTCTTCTTGAAATACGACCAGTTGTCCCATTATGAATGTTGATATGATTTTCGGGCTGTCAAGATGATGCTCGGCGGACTCTGACTGAGTCCTGCAAAGTGGTGTAATTAGGTGATGGTGGCATGTGCTGGCAGTGCTGTCGGATACCGCTCAAACATTAGTCCAAATCAAAGGTCACGTGGGATGATTCCCGGTAAGGAGATGCAGGCCAAGCGCGACTTACCAGCGCCTGCATTTTAAGTTGATGGCTAGCTAGGGTATGTTGGTTCCAAGGCCGTTTGTTCCGTGAGCCAAGATTTCATCCAAGAAGCTTTGGTTGCGACCCTTCAAAGACCTGCCTCATTGAGAGGGTGTCAAGAACATGCACAACCTGCACACGACGATCGACGGTGATGCCTAACCTGGGCCACTTTGTATTATCCGGCAGCATCCGCGGACAAGCGGTTACCAACGGCCTGACATGGTAGGGGGAGTCTTCTTCTTTCAATCGTCAAACAGGGAGGTGTTGCTCGATCCTACCTCTATCACAACCTATCATTGGGCAAGCAATTGACGCCATGTGGGCGGAATGTGAGGAGCATGCAATTCGCATGGTTGAGGATCGAGACCTGGGTCCGCAAGACCTGCGCCATCCTTTCGCAGGTAGCTGCATGCCGTCTGGTCAGTGTAAATGCTTAGGCAAAATTCAACATATGACTGTAGCAGGCTTACGCGTGCGGCGCATGCCAGAAGATGTCACCTCAGCGGCCTTCTAGCGAAGTTCGCCTACCCAGTCGGTTGAATGTGCCTCGCTGTTATCTGCCTTGGCCGCATTGGATACCAGGGGCAGCCCCCACTTGCCGCTGCGGCTAGACTCTGTTCACCTGCCTTATTCAGTGGGAACTATCTTGCCAACTTGACTATCTAATCAAGCTGAGGCAGGATCGTGGCACAGAAATGAAGTTATCTTTCGTCGAAGGCCAGTGACCTTGATTGTGTGTGACGAGGTCTTGCACAGGTACACGCGGAAGCCTTCCATCCCAATTGGTTGAATGGCAAAAAAGGCGGGGATATCAACGTCTGGGCAACAGGTCAACCCATCACAGTCGCCTGTCAGCGATTACAGGTTACAAGTCGGTCTTAGTTGCCGGCAAAGCGGTGAGTTATTGTGTTATGCGTGTTGGTAGCTTCCCACGATCGGAAGGAAACGCGTAGGAGAATGAACACAGTGGGGAAGTACGAATGATTCGAGATTATATCAGCGCCATGAGATGATTTATTAGGAATTAAGTCAGCGCGTAGCG